CAAAATCGTCCATTGCAATTAGAGTATGGAGAATCCCAGATGGCTCTAAGGGTAGGGATAAAATGGGGAAGGAGGCTGGAATCCTCCCCTCTGTCTTGTGAAAGAAAGATCAAGCATCCCAGGCATACAAGTTAAGGACTTATTCTGTGCCCCAGAGTCCCTGGAAAGTAGAAAGGCAGTCTGAGTAGGGAGATGAGAGATGCCATTTTAAAAAAAGGACAACAGTGGGAAAGTACTTTCCCTGTGTGGAAAGTACAGGTAGCTGCTGGTGCTCTTGTGGCCTGGCCCTGTGGATTCTGTTTGTACAGATCCCAGATCAAAGGTGTGCTAAGGGAAGCCTCTGGAACCACAAGTGCTAACAAGTCATGATGTGGGAAAGAGGCGTCCCATTTGAGCTCCAGCCTTGAGGGAGAAACCCTTTCTGTGCAAAGAAAGGAGATGCTGGCTACACACACCATCGCAGCTTTGTGTCACAGAGGCTGAACTGGCCAGTGAGACATGGACAGAGATTTCAGGGGTCAAGACAAAGTGGACTAGTGGAGACCAGCCAGCTTCCAGCTGGTGGAGCATGAGCAGGGTACAAGCCCATCTGTGAGAGCAGTATCACACTAAAGAGAGGAGTTCCTCACTCCAAAACGGACCAGTTTTAGACTTTATTTTGACTTATAGTATTTATTTTCTTATTGTAGTAAGAAACGTAAATAATAGAAGGGCTTTGACATCTTAATGTATAATAATAGGTCAGGTACGATGGCTCACACCTATAATCCCAGCACTTTGGGAAGCCGAGGAAGGAGGATGGCTTGAGGCCAGAAGTTCAAGACCAGTCTGGGCAACATAGCAAGACGCTGTCTCTACAACAACAACAACAACAACAACAACAACAACAAAAACAAACTCTTACTTGGTGCTCACTACATGCCAGGCACTGTTGTAAGTGTTTTGTATGTATTAACTCATTTAACTCTCATAACTTAAAATTCATGTCCTGCAAAGAGCACATAGAATTATGTGATTTTTTTCTCTGCTTTGCCTTATTATATCATGTTAGATGAAACTGGTCTAGTTTAATAGAAAATAAAACCAACCTTTTGCCCCATTTTGGCACTCAAATATTGACTTGCCCTTCTACAGTACTTCCTTTACCCACAGGACCAAGAATCTCTCTCCCCTCCATCTCTTTTCCTTAACCAGTTAGACATTTGGAGGCCAGGTTTACAATGGTAGTTTTTCTGTGACTGTCCTGCCCTCTGCTGGATTCAAGAGATAGATTGCTGATACGTGCACTTACGGGAGGGGGCCCATTTACCGGAAAGCGGGGTGGATCTGGAGACCGGATTTCCCTCTGGGTTACTTTTGTTCACTAGTAATTTGGTCTAGGAGGTTGTGATCCAGCCTCTGAGTATGCGGTGGAAAGATTCTTGGTAAATACAACTGCCTGGTTTAGAGTTTAGAAGTTGTCTATGTGTGTGCCTACTTGTTTCTTTATTTATATATGGATGGAGAGATGCGAGAGACCTCATTTGTCTAATGTTAAAAACAAAATTTCCTACGCAAATTGATCTTTAGGAATTGGCAAAATTTATCAGCTTGTGAACAAGAGATCAGCAAGGTGACAAAAGCTATACTTTTGCATATGGGAAAAGCATGGAAATGGATAGATTGTTGGAATATAGAAGACTTACATAAGCAACCAGTGCAGGGAAGGAAAAAAACCCTCCCCAACTAGGTAAAGATTGTAATTTCATTATACATGGTAACAAAAATGTCATATTCCACTTTCTTATTACAGAATAAACATGAATGAGGAGGGTTTGCAATGCCAGCAATAATCAAAAAAATCAATATAATGCTAAATATATAGGAAAAATAAAAATAACTTAGTTATAAAATACAGTAATATGTATTTCAATATCGAAATCCTAGGGTGTTACCACAAAAGATATAATTAAGCAATAAGATGTTCACATCTATAAATAATGAACAAGCTTGGATGTAATAGGAGCCATAAGAAGAGAAGCCATTCCATTCAAAATGAAGGCAGAGGTGTGATGGATATTAGAATAAAACCTGATGTTAAGTAATCATAGAGATTTATTTGTGTCAACAAAATAGAGAAGTAACTTGAATTTAAGAAAGAGTAACATGACATGTACTAGATAGAGAAAATGAGGACATATACTATTGCTGTGATGAGCTAGGTCTTCTTTTCAAGGAAGAGGTTATAATACATTTGTGGTGTCATGGGATAGAATAGTGAAGGAGTTCTCATAAATCATATAACCCATCTTGATATCTCACCACATGTCAAGGCAAGCATGGAGACTCTAAAACATTTGAGACCTTGGAGACCATGTCCTTCAAGAATTGATGGGAAATAGAGGATGATTTGAAAAAAGAAGCAGTATTTAAGAGGCTTTGGACAAGTTGTGTGGCAGACCTTTAGGGACAGAACCAGGTAAGACTGAAAGCCATCAGGAAATCTCCAAATACATCATTTCAATGTGTAATTTCAGAACATAGATTTTATTTATTTATTTATTTATTATTTTTTGAGTCAGAGTCTCACTCGATCACCCAGGGTGGAGTGCAGTGGTTCAATCTCGCCTCACTGCAACCTCTTACCTCCCAGGTTCAAGGGATTCTCCTGCCTCAGCCTCCCGAGTAGCTGGGATTACAGGTGTGCACCAATCTGCCCAGCAAATTTTTGTATTTTTAGTAGAGATGGGGTTTCACCATGTTGGCCAGGCTGGTTTCCAACTCCTGAACTTAGGTGATCCACCCTCCTCGGCCTCCCAAAGTGCTGGGATTACAGGCATGAGCCACCGCGCCTGGCCAGATTTATTACTACTGTGCTGCAAATAATTTTTACAATTTATATACAGTGGTAATAAAATATTTAAAAATAGGTTTTATGTATGAAGTTCACTGATATCTCTCATTTCATTTGTCACTACAAACGTAATAATGTATTTGACCTAAAGTCCCGTGACGGGGAGTGGTGGTTTATGCCTGTAATCCCAGCACTTTGGGTGGCTGAGGTGGGAGGATTGCTTGAGCCGGAGGGGTTGAGACTGCAGTGTGCCATGATTGAGCCACTGCACTCCAGCCTGGGCAACAAAGCGAGTCCTTGATTCCAAAAAACGCAAAACCAACCAACCAACCAAAACCCTCAAGTAACTCTTCCTATAAATTTTGGCTAGTGTTATGTTGGTTTCGAATGTATTAATATCCCAATCAGGTATTGCATATTCAGCCTTATCTGAAATCGAATCAACTAACTACATCAAATGAAAGCAACATTGGCCGGGCACAGTGACTCACACCTGTAATCCCAGCACTTTGGGAGGCCAAGGCGGGCGGATCACGAAGTCAGGAGTTCCAAAAACAGCCTGACCAACATAGCGAAACCCCATCTCTACTAAAAATACAAAAAATGAGCCGGGCATGGTGGCAAGAAGCCTGTAATCCCAGGTACTCTGGAGGCTGAGGCAAGTGAATATCCTGAACCCGGGAGGCAGAGATTGCAGTGAGCTGAGATCGCACCACTGTTGTGCTCTCCAGCCCGGGCGACGGTGCGAGATTTAGATTCCATCTCAAAAAAAAAAAAAAAAAAAAAAAAGAGCGACCTTTCCAAACCAGTGCTTTTTCTTTCCTTTTTTTTTTTTTTTTTCCCCGCTTTTCTTACTAGAATCTGATCACCACTACTTTTCTTTTCTTCTTTCGAGACGGAGTTTTGCTCTCCTCGCCCAGGCTGGAGTGCAATGGTGCAATCTCGGCTCACTGCAACCTTCACCTGTCAAGTTGAAACGATTCTCCTGCCACAGCCTCCCGAGTAGCTGAGATTACAGGCGCCCCCGCCACCAAGCCTGGCTAATTTTTTGTATTTTTAGTAGAGACAGGGTTTCACCATGTTGCCCTGGCTGGTCTCGAACTCCTGACCTCAGGTAATCCACCCTGCCTCGGCCTCCCTCCCAAAGCGCTCCACCCCAGCGCTTTTCTTGTTCAGCTCATTTGTGAGCTGTATGACGCCCAGAGGTTTTTTTTTTTTTTTTTGAGACGTTGAGTTCTTGTTTTCTAGGCTGGAGTGCAATGGCGCGATCTCGGCTTACTGCAACCTCTGCCTCCTGGGTTCAAGCGATTCTCCTGCCTCAGCCTCCTGAGTAGGGATTGCAGCCATGCGCCACTACGCCCGGCTAAGTTTGTATTTTTAGTAGAGACGGGGTTTCTCCATGTTGGTCAGGCTGGTCTCGAACTCCCGACGTCAGGTGATCGCCTGCCTCGGCCTTCCAAAGTGTTGGGATTACAAGCTTGAGCCACCGCGCCCGGCCCTGGCCTACCTTTTTTTTTTTTTTTTTTTTTTTTTGAGACGGAGTCTCTGTCGCCCAGGCTGGAGTGCAGTGGCCGAATCTCAGCTCACTGCAAGCTCCGCCTCCCTGATTTACGCCATTCTCCTGCCTCAGCCTCCCGAGTAGCTGGCACTACAGGCGCCGCCACCTCGCCCGGCTAGTTTTTTGTATTTTTTTAGTAGAGACGGGGTTTCACCGTGTTAGCCACGATGGTCTCGATCTCCTGACCTCGTAATCCGCCCGTCTCGGCCTCCCAAATTGCTGGGATTACAGGCTTGAGCCACCCTGGCCTACTTTTAAACAGTCTTCCTCCTGGAGCTTATTTCTCTGGGGCAGAGGCATAAACTCCGCCTCTGACAGCCCCTGAGGGCCCCGCCCCTACGCGCACTTCGCCTTCTTTTTGTTCACTCTATCTCCAGGGCGGGAGCCAGATGCCGACCCAAGCGGAAGTGACGTTAGGCGTCCGCCGGAGGTGTCGTTGGTGTGTTGTGCGACCGGCCTTGAAGAAGAACTGGGGCCTGCTCCCGGAGAAATACAGCTATGTCGATCGAAATCGAATCTTCGGAGTGAGTCCTGCGGTGGAGATGTTCCCGCCGTGCCGGGGGCCCAGAGGTTAAGGGTGTGGGGCGGAAGATACTCGGGGGAAGGCATCCGAGAGGCTAGGGAATGGAGGGCCATTTCCTTGCCCCCAAAGAAGCATCTTGGATCTGGCTATCTCGGAGGTGGGCCCACAGGAAAGTAGCAGCTCTCAGACGAGAAGCCCAAAGCCTCGAGGGAGGTGGCATGGGGTGGGGAAAACACACCTTGCAGACCAGAGTTCTGTCCTTGGCCGACTGCTGACGCTCTGTGATTGACCAAATTAAGGATCCACTCTGGACTCCAGTCTAATTGAATCTGCACACGGGGATAGGTCTCTTTTAAGCCTTGCTTCTCTCCCTGTCGAGCTTATGCAATGTGATTTATTGTCTCTGTGCACATACGGCCCCTTTGCTTTCCTCTGCCTAGCATTTATCACTCATTGTTGTCACTGTTTGATAACCTCACCCCAAACTAGCTTTGTCGGTGCCTAGGAGCTCCTTTTCCTTGTGGTCTCAGTGTCTTGCGTACCTTAGAGGAAGAGTTAATTGCTTTTGGAATGGATGAACAACTAGCTTTTGGAATGAATGAACAAGTCTCAGGCCTGATCTGGCACTGAATTTTGGTTTGTCTGTGAGCTCTCTGTAACCGCAAAGGAGAGGCAGACTCTGGAGACTGGGCTAGAAAGAAAAATTTTCAGGGAATAGGGAATGAGAAGTAGTGACTAAAGAAGACTTTAGTGTGCTTTTCCAGAACTCCATCCTCCACCTGTCCTTGCCAATACTTAATAATAATTAAATTAACAGACATAACTGTTGTGTTCTGAGTGTAAGGGAGGGAGAGGACCTTTTTTGGAGACTTGACTTTTTTTATTTTGAGATGGAGTTTCGCTCTTGTTTCCCAGGCTGGAGTGCAATGGCGCGATCTCGGCTCACTGCAATCTCTGCCTCCCGGGTTCAAGCGATTCTCCTGCCTCAGCCTCCCTAGTAGCTGGAATTACAGGCATGTGCCACCACGCCTGGCTAATTTTGTATTTTTAGTAGAGACGGAGTTTCTCCATGTTGGTCAGACTGGTCTCGAACTCCCGACCTCAGGTGATCCGCCCGCCTCGGCCTCCCAAAGTGCTGGCATTACAGGCATGAACCACCACGCCCGGCTTTTGGAGACTTCATAGGAGGAAGGGAGGTTTATACATTCGGCAAATACTGAAATCATGTTAACCAACTTGTCCAAGGTCACATAACTTTGATTCAAATCCCAGACTGTCTTCAAAGCTTTTAACTCATTATGCATTCATTCGTGTTTGAAGGTAGGGAATTTGATTTTGTCTGTGTCAAATGTGAGGTGTTTGAGGAGAGAGATGACTTATTTTGGGAGTGTAAAATGGAAGTCAATGGAAATGTGCTAAGGAAGATAGTATCATACCAGAATAACAGGGGTCTAAGTCTGGAGACCTGCATACCTCATAAAGGGTCCATGAGAGAAAAAGATACTTACAGTAGCAGCAATCAGTTCTCTTTTATAGTTGTTTTTAAGAAGAGGGGCCAGGTGCGGTGGCTCACACCTGTAATCCCAACACTTTGGGAAGCTGAGACGGGTGGATCACTTGAGCCCAGGAGTTTGAGACAGCATGGTCAACATGGCAAAACCACGTTTCTACAAATACAACAATTAGCCAGTGTGGTGGTGCGTGCCTGTGGTCTCAGCTACTCGGGAGGCTGAGGTGAGAGGATCACTTGATCCCAGGAAGTCGAGGCTGCAGTGAGCCATGATCCCGCCACCATTCTTTCCAGCCTGAGTGAATGGGCGTGAGACCCTTTCTCAAAAAAAAAAAAAGAAGAGGGTGTTTGCTTTCTTCTCAGGAATATATGCTCAAGAGCCACACTGCCAGTTTGAGTCCTGGTTTTTCCACTTACTATCTCTATTATCTGATCAAATTCTCATCTGTAAATTGGGAAGTAAACTTACCTCATAGGCTTTATTTTATTTATTTTTTGAGACAGGGTCTTGCTCTCTTTCCCAGGCTAGAGTGCAGTGGCATGATCACGGCTCACTGCAGCCTCAACCTTACGGATACAAGCGATCCTCCCACCCTAGCTTCCAAATAGCTGGGACCACAAGCACACACTATCATGCCTAGCTAATTTTTTTTTTTTTTTTTTTTTTTTTTTTTGTAGAGAAGGGGTCTCCTTGTGTTGCCCATGCTGCTCTTGAACTCCTGGGCTCAAGGGATCCTCCCACATCAACATCCCAAGTAGCTGGGACTACAGGCACGTGCTACCATGTTTGGCTAATTAAAGAAATTTGTAGAGATGGAGTCTCACAGCTGCCTGATCTGGTCTCAAACTCCTGGTTTCCAGCAATCTCTCTGCCTCAGCCTCCCAAAGTACTGAGATTACAGTCATGAGCCAGCATGCCTAGCCTCATTTAGATTATTTTGTATCAATGACTAGTGTAGTCATTTAAAGTAATTCAGTGAAGTGTGCTACAATATAATTATAGGAATGAATAGGAAACTAGGCTCTGAATTAGGAAATAAGATAGTCACCTTGATACCAACTCCCTTTTTAGCTGACTGAGACATTAGGCAAATGATTTCCCTTCCTTGAACCCCAGTGTCTCTATGGTTGGGGGGGTCCCCTTGTAATTTAGCTTGTGTGATTTTGGAAAATGTTACTCACATGATAAAGAAATGATAAAGGAAGGTGATTGAGTAGGAGCTTGGTAGGCTTTGTTTTTGACCTCTGGTGAGTGAGAATCCCTGAGCTGAATGATTTGTTTTCTTTCAGTGTGATCCGCCTTATCATGCAGTACTTGAAGGAGAACAGTTTACATCGGGCGTTAGCCACCTTGCAGGAGGAGACTACTGTGTCTCTGAATACTGTGGACAGCATTGAGAGTTTTGTGGCTGACATTAACAGTGGCCATTGGGATACTGTGTTGCAGGCTATCCAGTCTCTGAAATTGCCAGACAAAACCCTCATTGACCTCTATGAACAGGTGAGAGTGGTGGAGATGCTGATCTCCATGGGTTGGTTTGCTGTGGGCCAGCTCTCTGACGAAAAGCGTCAGCGAGCGTTCCTTCAAGCACAGTAGGGCTGCATCAGCCCATAAAACTTACAATGGCAAGGCTTGACATGGTATTTTTTCTCCCTTCTCAGAAAATCCAAGATTTCCCAAATTAAAATTCCTCTTTTTGAGACTAGGTCTTGTTCTGTTACCCACTCTGGAGTGCTGTGGCAAGATCACAGCTTGCTGCATCCTCCATTTCCGGGATCAATCCTTCCTCCTGCCTCAGCCTCCTGAGTGGCTAGGAACACAGGCATGCACCACCACGCCTGCCTAATTTTTGCATTTTTTTGTAGAGACAGGATCTCACCATAATACCCAGGGTGGTCTCAAACTCCTGGGCTCAAGCAGTTCGCCAGCCTTGACTTTCAAAAGAGCTGGGATTATAGGCGTAAGAGAGCCTCAACTTTCTAATCACATAGTTAGTCTTTCTGGTAACTAGCTCCTACCTATCCTGAGCCATTTCCTTTGCACAAACCCAGGTGTGATTCAAGGGGCCCAGGAGTAACAAAGATACCCCTATCACTGGTTAAATTCCAAGAAGCTCCAAGTCAAGAACCTAGGACAAAGATCAGACAAATTTGTGATTATAAAACAGAGAGTAGACTTTTTGGAAATAAGATTGTAATTTGAAGTAAAAGTAGGGAAGTTGGTTTTTTGTTTTTGTTTTCGGGGCTTTTTTTTTTTTTTGAGACGGAGTCTCACTCTGTTGCCCAGGCTGGAGTGCAGTGGTGCGACCTCTGCTCACTGCAGCCTCCATCTCCCGGGTTCAAGTGATTCTTCTGCCTCAGCCTCCTGAGTAGCTGGGATTACAGGCGTGCACCACCACACCCAGCTAATTTTTGTATTTAGTGGAGACGGGGTTTCACCACATTGGCCAGGCTGGTCTCCAACTCCTGACCTCAGTGATCCACCTGCCTTGGTCTCCCAGATGCTGGGATTACAGGTGTGAACTGCCGTGTCTGGGCAGTTTGTTTCTTTATAATCCATATGAGTTCAATAATTCCCAAATAAAATTTTGGTAACTGGAGAAAGGTTTCTCTGGAGCCCATGGGGATATTCCCATTTTTAGCTTTCTTTGGCATCTACATTCTGAGCAAGAAGCTTGAGAGGAGGGGAGATTGGTAGATAAAAATAGATAGAGTTTGAAGGATTAAAATTACTAATTTTTTGAGACAGAGTGCAGTAGCGTGAGCTTGGCTCACTGCAACCTCTGCCTCTCGGGTTCAAGCAATTCTCCTGCCTCAGCCTCCCAAGTAGCTGGGATTACAGGCGCATACCACCACACCCAGCTAATTTTTTTGTATTTTTAGTAGAGAGGGGTTTCACCACGTTGGCCAGACTGGTTTTGAACTCCTGACCTCAAGTGATCCACTCATCTTGAACCACTCCCAAAGTGCTAGGATTACAGGCATGAGCCACCAAGCCTGGCCGAAGTTACTATTTATAATTACTTCAGTTGTCTACCTGAAATTGCTAGTGAAAAGGGAAAGGGGCACTTCCTGGCATTGGAAATCACTTTGACAGGCCATATCTCTGTTAGATATTTTACTGAAAAATATTAATAAGAGAATGTGTTGGAACATCTGTTTTTTTTTTTTTTTTTTTTTAATTGTTCAGGTTGTTCTGGAATTGATAGAGCTCCGTGAATTGGGTGCTGCCAGGTCACTTTTGAGACAGACGGATCCCATGATCATGTTAAAACAAACACAGCCAGAGCGATATATTCATCTGGAGAACCTTTTGGCCAGGTCTTACTTTGATCCTCGTGAGGTATGACTGTGGTAATGTAAAGGAACTTTTTGTCAACTTTGGAAATATAATAACATCTTTTTTTTTTTAAATCATTTTATTGGATACTTTTTGTGATTTTGATTTAATTTTTGAGAATGATGCTTCTCTGTTTATATATGTTGGTTGAAATTTGCATGTGTTAAAAAAAGAATAATTTTACTCAGTTTTCTGATTATTTGAGAGTCTTCTACACACCTCATTTTAGAGGATTGTGTGTTGGTTGGTACAGAAAATTTTATTCTGATGTCATTTCCACATTAGCCCTCCCCGAAGTGCTGCCTGACTGCTGGTATGTTCACTGATCATTTGTGTGTCTTGCCCCTAACAAATGCAGTTTCATTCTAGCCTTTTTAGTCCCTAGAAGCTTGTGCTTTTGCTTCTTAGCTGATTATGCTTACTAGTAGAGCATGATGATAGATAGTCTTTTATTCTTCCAAAACCTTATTATCTGTATAGTTTCATTCTTCCTGCCCACCCCCCAGCCTTTCACTAGAGGTTTGTCAAAATAGGAGGAAAAAGGATTAAAAAAATTTTGGGGGGGGGTACATAGTAGGTATATATATTTATGGGGTACATGAGATATTTTGATATAGGCATGCAGTGCATAATGAGGGTAAATGGAGTATCCATCACCTCAAGCATTTATCCTTTATGTTACAAAGGATTCAATTCTTTCAGTTATTTTAAAATGTACAATTATTATTGACTATAGTCACCCTGTTGTGCTATCAAATGCTGTTTCTTATTTATTCTTTATATTTTTTGTATCTATTAACCATCCCCACTTTCCTTCTTACCCTGCCACCTCCACCCTTCCCAGCCTCTGATAACCATATATCTGTATCTCCATGTTTTAATTTTTAGTTCCTGCAAATAAATGAGAACATGCAAAGTTTGTCTTTCTGTGCCTGGCTTATTTCACTTACCATAATGAGCTCTAGTTATATCCATGTTGTTGCAAATGACAGGATCTCATTCTTTTATATGGCTAGTGGTACTCCATTGTGTACATGTACCACATTTTCTTTATTTATCTATTAATGGTTGCTTCCAAATCTTGGCTATTGTGAACACTGATGTAATAAACATGGGAGTGCAGATATCTCTTTGATATACTGATTTCCTTTTGGGTGTGTACCTAGCAGTGGGATTGCTGGATCATATGGTACCTCCATGTTTAGTTTTTTGAGGAATCTCCAAACTATTCTCCATAGTAGTTGTACTAATTTACTTTCCCACTAATAGTGTATGAGGGTTCCTTTTTCTCCACTTACTCACCAGCATTTGTTCTTTCCTGCCTTTTTGTACAAAAGCCATTTTAACTGGAGTGAGATGACATCTCATTATAGTTTGATTTGCATTTCTCTAATGATCAGTTGTGTTGAGCACCTTTAAATAAACCTGTTTGCCTTGTGTATGTCTTTTTTTTTTTGAGAAACGTCTTTTCAGATCTTTCACCCATTTTTAACATTGGATTATCAGGTTTTTTTCCTATAGAGTTGTTTGAGCTCCTTATATATTCTGGGTTTTTTTTTTTTTTTTTTGACAGAGCTCTGTTACCCAGGCTGGAGTCCAGTGGCATGATCTCGGCTCACTGCAGCCTCTACTTTCTGGGTTAAAGTAATTCTCGTGCCTCAGCCACCAAGTAGCTGGGATTACTGGTGTGTGCCACCACACTCAGCTAATTTTTGAATTTTCAGTAGAGATAGGGTTTCACCATGTTGGCCAGGTTGGTCTCGAACTCTTGGCCTCAAGCGATCCACCCGCCTCGGCCTCCCAAAGTGCTGGGATGACAGTCATGAGCCACCACACTTGGCCTTGTGTTCTGGGTATTTATTTATTTATTTATTTTTCTGAGATGGAGTCTTACTGTTGTCGCCCCGGGTAGAGTGCAATGGCACGATCTTAGCTCACTGCAACCTCTGCCTCCTGGGTTCCAGGAATTCTGCCTCAGCCTCCCGAGTAGCAGAGATTACAGGCACCCACCACTACGGCCCGGCTAGTTTTTCTATTTTTATTTAGTGGAGACGGGGTTTCACCATCTTGGCCAGGCTGGTCACGAACTCCTGACCTCAGGTGATCTGCCCGCCTCAGTCCCCCAACGTGCTGGGATTACAGGCATGAGCCACCCCGCCCGGCCGTATTCTGGTTACTAGTTTGCAAGTATTTTCTCAGGAGGAATAAAAACTTAATAGGCACTGGATAATGGAATGTCAAAGTAAACTTAAAATGAGGATAAAGGAAAGGAGTTTAGATCACCAGGATGGGATTTAACTTAGAGGTGGTGAAGCACTTCTGTGCTGGGAGCCATTTAAGAAATTACTAAAGAATATAAAAGAATTCTTGGTTCTGCACATTTTTGAAAAACTGGAAAAACAACTCGGTTTAATATGGTTTACTTGGACTCTTTTCAGAAAAATAGCAGTGTGTCCTTTGGCCAGGAACTCAGTGAAAAAATAATAATAGTGTGGATTGGCTGACCTCAGTTTTCTCCCAACTCATACTTTTGAAATGCAAGTGGACAGAATTGGGAAGTCATTTTCAAAAACTAAATTAGTTTAATCCCTTCTTTAACTGGGTAATTTCTTTTCACATTTTCCTCTGTGTATGCTTTTGCTTGTTTGTTTTAAGTAAGCACACTCATATCTTGTTGTTGCTTCTTGGAAATGATGCTACATCCTCTCCTTTTTCAGGCATACCCAGATGGAAGTAGCAAAGAAAAGAGAAGAGCAGCAATTGCCCAGGCCTTAGCTGGTGAAGTCAGTGTGGTGCCTCCATCTCGTCTCATGGCATTGCTGGGACAGGTAATTCAATTCCTTTAGAGGCCAGGCGTGGTGGCTCACACCTGTCATCCTTGCACTTTGGGAGGCTGAGGCAGGAGAATCACTTGAGCCTAGAAGTTGGAGACCAGCCTAAGCAACATTGTGAGACCCTGTCTACAAAAAGTAAAAAAATTAGCAGGGTATGGTGGTGTGTGCCTGTGGTCTCAATTACTTGGGAGGCTGAGGTGGGAGGATCACTGGAGCCCAGAAGGTTGAGATGACAGTGAGCTATGATCATGCCATTGTACTCCAGCTTGGGCAATAATAGAGTGAGACCCTGTCTCCAAAAATAAAAATAAATTTAAAAAGTGAACTGGTACAATTTCCTAATTTGCTTTGTATAAACTATGTCTTAGCTGAAGAAATCGTACACCTTAAGAATTGGTGACTACCTACAGAGTTGCTTATACCAATAACTGTGCTGTTCCACTCTCCTTCTTTCCTGGGAGAGGCAATATAGATTAGTGGTTAATAACAAGCTCTGGAGTCAGTTAGAATTAGGGTTACCATAGAATTTATCATCCTGTCTGGGATAGTGTTGAGAGTACTATTGATCACTATGCCAGAACACCAAGTGCAAACAGTAACTGTCCTGGAAAAACTGGAACAAATGGCCACCCTGGTTAGAATCCAGGCTTTCTCATTTACCAGCTATATAGTCTTGGCAAATTACTTTACTTTTCTGATCCCATTTACTCATCATAGTATTGATGAGTAAGGATTAAGAGAAATAATGTTCATAAACACTTTATACATTTCCTGGCACCTTGTAAATAGTAAATGGTAGCTGCTGGTGATTATTTTTTAAAAAAATTACTAATAGTGTTGCCAGCATTGTCATTATTATAAAGCTACCTAGAGTAATAGATATTTTATAAATAACAAAGGGCACAAGTGATTAATAGGGATGTTAATAACCTTTTTGCACTAAATCTGCATTTAGAAAAGGATCAAAAAGCTATTTGTTGTAGGCCTGTAGTGATTCTGAGATTTAAAAGTAAGCTGCTTTTTAATTTTTTAATCAAACTAATAGCTGTGCATCGTTTAAATAGTACTTCAGGGCTTACAGTGAAAAACAGTCCCATGTGCTTCCCTTCTCCACGTCTGGTTCTTAACTTTCCTATTACCTCCATAGCTGAATACCATGTTTATACTGTTATTACCTGATTTTTTTTTTTTTTTTAGTCATTAGCAACTAACTTTCTTCACTGAAAAATGATTTGTCTCATACCCACTCTCCTCAATACACACTTATTCTTCTTCCGGATTTTCAGTAGGGTTGTATCACAACTTCTGGTTCGATCTGTATTCAGTGTTTACATAGTTATTTTTATGTAGATATTGTTCACAGCTAAAAAATAATTACGTGTAATTTCTTACATAAATTTTTATGATTTGCAATAATTATTGCTTTATTTTTTCTTTTGCCTAGTTTTCTATGCACTTCTGCTAGTCCAGTCTGAGTATTTCTGGTAGGACCCTCAAAAGTCCTTTTTTTTCCCCCTTGCTGATACCTTTCCTGAGGCCCTTCTCTTTTTGTTCTCATCAGGACTAGTTCTCTTGTATTGCTGCACAGTTACTGTACCAGGACTTCTCTCATCTTCATACTGGGAATTTTGGGCCTCTTTTTTTTTGTAGATCTTATTTATAGATTCATCATTTTTCTTTCTTTCATAGTTAGACCTCTTTTTTTTTTTTTTTTTTTTTTTTTTTGAGACGGAGTCTGGCTCTGTCGCCCAGGCTGGAGTGCAGTGGCGCGATCTCGGCTCACTGCAAGCTCCGCCTCCCGGGTTCACGCCATTCTCCTGCCTCAGCCTCCCGAGTAGCTGGGACTACAGGCGCCCACAACCGCGCCCGGCTAATTTTTTGTATTTTTAGTAGAGACGGAGTTTCACCGTGGTCTCGATCTCCTGACCTTGTGATCCGCCCGCCTCGGCCTCCCAAAGTGCTGGGATTACAGGCGTGAGCCACCGCGCCCGGCCTTTTTTTTTTTTTTTGAGACGGGGTCTTACTCTGTCACCAGACTGGAGTGCAGTGCCACGATCTCGGCTCACTGCAATCTCCGCCTCCCAGGTTCAAGCAATTCTCCTCCCTCAGCCTCCTAAGTAGCTGGGACCACAGGCACCCACCACCACGCCCAGCTAAGTTTTGTATTTTTAGTAGAGACAGTGTTTTCATCATGTTGGCCAGGATGGTCTCGATCTCTTGACCTCGTGATCCGCCCGCCTCGGCCTCCCAAAGTGCTGGGATTACAGGTGTGAGCCACTGTGCCCGGCGTGTTTTTTTTGTTTGTTTTTTGTTTTTTGTCTTTAATTAAATGAAGAACAGGGCCTTGCTGTGTTGCCCAGGCTATCCTGCCTCTGCCTTCCTAAGTACTGGGATTACAGGTGTGAGCCACTGAGTCCAGCCTCGACCTTCATTTTGTGGGAGTACTGAGGCCAGTAACTTCCTGAGAAAGGAAGTGTAGGAATAAATTTTTGAGATTTTACTTGTGTCTGTAATACTGTATATCTTTCTCTCTAAATGTTTAAAGTTTTATTTTCCTCCCTGCCCCATGATGTTGCTATTTTTTCTTTTTCTCTGAGTTCTCCCCTTCCCTGTTTGTTTTGGTGACCATATGTGGAAGTTTTCCTCAAATACTTAGAGATCTCTGCTGTGGTTTATATTTAAGAGTGAAACATTAAATAACAGAATTATATGTCCGGTTGGGTGGTTGGAAGGAGGAGTTTGAGAACTGATAAGAGTTCAGCCTGGGATGATAGGATGGGGATCCTCACTTGTCATTCTCTGCAGAAATATTCTCTTGGACTGGTCAGCTTTTCCAGAGAGTAGTTCCTGCTTGGAGAGTAGTTGCTGCCTGGAGAGTAGTTCCTGCCTAAACCGTATCTTGAGAACCAGAGCTGAGAGGATGCAAGTAGGAGTGGACGATAGAGAAATCTCACTGTTCAGCATACCAGTGTACACTGAACCCCCCAGTTTTCATTGTGGCTTCTCACCTCCACCCTGTCCTCAACTCTACTGAGATTTCCAGAGCCCAGGACCTCAACCTTTCTAGAATGTACATTACCTGATTTCTCTTGAGGCTAAGGTGAGGTTGCGCAGGGTTGGGAGAAGTCGTGGTAGCTAAATGCTCCTTATACAGACTTTAATATTGCCCGTTTTCAGCCCTGTGGCGTATGTGATTCTTCCAGTTCCTAAGCCTTTTTGGAGTTTTGCAAGGTAGTTTGACTTGCTTCTTGTGGCTTCCCCTTCTTCACCTTGTACAATTAGGTTTCAGTTTTCTCTGTTCTTGGTTCCCACAAGTCCATTCACTTTTCACCTCCTAAAATTTAACTAACATTTTTTTCTTGCTGTTCTCCCATTCTCTTTGTCTTTTGGGGCATGTATCTTTTTTATTCCTTAATTACCATCACTTTAGTAGATTTTTTACAGAGAGTGGAAATAAACTCATGTGTTCTACATTTAATTGGTTATATGTGAAGAGCAAGTGAGGTTTTCGTTCTAGGTTTCGTTTCCTTTTAGTTTCTGGTTTGAGTGACTTGGTAGAAAATAAAAGAAGGGCAGATTTGTTGGGGGCTGGGGGTAGAAACTAGAGATAGGAGAAATGATCCATTTTTAGATGTGCTAAAGTCCTGTGGGACATACAAGTGGAAACTTGTAGTATAGGCACTTGGATCTGTGAATCTGGACCTTAACCTAGAGATTTTGGCTAAAATTATAGATTTGGAAATTATAGTAGTAGTTGAAGCTGTAAATGTAATTACCTAGGGAAAGCACGTAGAATAAGAATAGTAAAAATTTGGCCAGGTGTGGTGGTTCACGCCTGTAATCCCAGTACTTTGGGAAGCTGAGGTGGGCCTATCAACTGAGGTCAGGAGTTCGAGACCAGTCTGGCCAACATGGTGAAACCCTGTCTCTACTAAAAATACAAAAATATTAGCTAGGTGTGGTGGCTTGCGCCTATAATCCCAACTATTCTGGAGGCTGATGCAGGAGAATTGCTTGAACTTGGGAGGTACAGGTTGCAGTGAGCTGAGATTGCACCATTGCACTCTAGCCTGGGGGACAAGAACAAAACTCTGTCTCAAAAAAAAAAAAAAAAGAAGAAGTAAAAATTTGAGAAGGAAACCACAGGGAACACTTAAAGTCAACAGAGCAAACAGAGAAAAGAACAGCCAGAGAGATAAAAAGGAACCTCGAGAGAATGGGTTTAGAGCAGCCAAGAGAGAGTTTGAAGAGTGTTCATTAAGATCAACAGCAACAGAAAACATGATGAGGGTCAGAAAGGAGTCTGGTTTGGCTGTTGGGATATCTGAGATGCACTGCCAGTGGAAAGGTGGGGACAGAGCGATATTGCAGTAAGAAAAGGAGTGAATTTAACTGAGAAGTGAAGGTAGCGAATGTAGATGGCTCTTGAACCTTGGTGGTTAAGGGAAGGAGATGAGGGTGGTGGGGAGGGAAGAGGACAACAGAAGCTCAAAAAGTACACAGGGCCAGACAAGGTTTTTTTTTTTTTTTTCTTTTGAATATGGAAATGATTAGAAACTGTTACAGGCCAGAAGAGGGTACAGATTGATTGGAGAGGGGTCCAAGGAGACACACATTCTCTCTGGTGATTGCAGGAAAACATAAATATAAATAAGATAGGAATTTTGGAAAGAAATTAATATATTTAGAAACATTAAATATTTCAACTATAATAATCTTAGAATTTTAAAGTTTAGAAAGTTGCTAGATACAAAATATACAATTTGATTGCACTCCTGTTTATCAGCAGCAGCTAGTTAGAAAATTCAGTGGAAAAGGGTTCTGTTTATAGCAGAAATATATAATATAAAACCTAGCATTATCTGGGAAATAGATGATTTCCATTTTTAAAAAGGCAAAAAAAAAAAATCCTTCAAAACTTACAATAGAATACTTGAGTAAATGGTGAAACATTGATTTTCTGGGATAAGACTGACATTCAATACCAGTTCTCAGATTTAAAGCAATTATCATAAAGATTGCAGTAGGATTAGAACTACTTTACAAAGGAATTTAGCATTCATCTGGAATAATAAACTTGAAAATACATTTATCAGGCTGTGCACGGTGGTTCATGCCTGTAATCTCAATGGTTTGGGAGGCCGAGGCGGGTGGATCACCTGAGGTCAGGAGTTCGAGACCAGCCTGGCCAACATGGCGAAACCTCGGCTGTACTAAAAATAGAAAAATTAGCCGGCCATCATGACGCACACCTGTAATCCCAGCTATTTGGGAGGCTGAGGCACGAGAATCACTTGAACCCGGGAGGCGGAGTTTGCAGTGAGCCAAGATTGCGCCACTGCACTTTAATTGAGACTCTGTCTCAATTAAAAAAAAAAAGAAAAAATATATTTAGCAAAGAAACTTTGGAAAGGAAGGATGTTGAGAGCGTACTAGGCTTAGAAATACTGCATTTAATAAAGACCTATAGTTTGCATCATTTTGGTAGTGGGCACAAGAATATCTGTTGCAACCAGTGCAACAACAATGCAAAAACCCAATCCTGTTATTTATAATAATTCCATGGATGACAATGGGGAATACCACAAAACCTAGGAATATAGGAAAAATATATTTAGTATATGATGTTGGGACACTGACTTTAGAATTGCAGAGGAGAGGTAAGATCAGAGCCTGCTTCCATATTTTATGTAGCATAATTTCAGATAGAAAGTTAGATACTTTAAGAAAATAGAAAAACACTTGGAGATTATATAATCTATCAAACCTGATAGTCTTCCCAAGCTTAGAGATTAAACACCAAGGAAAAGATCAACAGATTTCATCACTTGAGAATGGAACTTAAGATGAAAAGAAACCTATAAAGCTATAATCCAAAAATAGACATAGTCACAGCTACTTGGAAGGCTGAGATAGAAGGACTGCTTGAGCCCAGGAGTTTGAGGCTGCAGTGAGTCGTGATCATGCCACCGCACTTCCAGCCTGGGTGTGTTTGAGTGTTAGTACTATGGGAGATTTCTGTTTTCCAGGTTTTGTTTATAACAAAAGAGCCACACCTATAAGAAAATAGGTGGATGATAGACTTGGTTCTCAGAGTCCCCTTCCACCCTTAGATCAGCCTGTGTTCTTGGACACACAGAGGCGCACGGATTATGTTGTGTTTGGATGGCCAAAAATAGTTGGGGTCTAGATGGCTCACAGCTTACTCTGAACCTCATCCTTTCGGGCTTGGTTTCTGAGCAGTCATGACCAGATCTTAAAAGCACCTGAACAGATTGCTATACTTTTTTTTTTTTCCTCATAGGCACTGAAGTGGCAGCAGCATCAAGGATTGCTTCCTCCTGGTATGACCATAGATTTGTTTCGAGGCAAAGCAGCTGTCAAAGATGTGGAAGAAGAAAAATTTCCTACACAACTGAGTAGGCATATTAAGGTAGGATCCTAAGACATTCAGCCAGTCAGTAATCATTTGTTGAGGACTTGTCATGGGCTCAGCCAGGCCCTGTGCCAGGGGCTTGGATACTTGAGGAGGAGAACTCATTCTCGAGCTCTGACAATATTCAAGGTTGCTGCAGGTGTCCATTGGGATACTGCTGTGGCCTGGGAGTGGTACACCTCAGATGTGTCATCTAATGGATGGACATCTAGCTTGACATGTAGCCCATCATCTGCCCTTGCACTGCTTCCCAAGAAGCCTGCATTTGGAAGAATGGTTAGTTCTTTTTTGGTTAAGTCTGGGACTGTGAACTTTCTATGTACTTCTCCTGTTCAACATTTTTGTTTTGCCTGCTATGTGTCAGGCAGAGTGCCAGTCAGGGATTACAAAGTGGGCTTATGTGATGTTTGAGGAAAGTGACTTTATCATCTTACGGTTTTTTTTTTTTTTTTTTTTTAACTGAGAGTTTCCTAGGAAAAAGTTTTCTAGGTAATTCCCAGAATTACAAGCATATTTGCTACTTTAGCATCTCTATATTACAGTTTCTCTGGATTTGTGCTCTAAATTCCTGGATTTTAAAATACTTCATATTCCTCAAATCTTTGACTTTAACATTTTGGATTTGCCTTTTCTGGATTATATATTCTAACTTGTAGATGAAGATATTTTTGAGCAGCACCTTTATTTACTCTGCCTGAAACCTTGAGACAAATAGAAGTCCATCGTTATTATGCTGCTGGGCTAAGATTTTCTGTTATAAACACTTTCCTTTTTTGGCATTTAAGGTGAAATCCACATTAAAGCTTTTCTCTGTTCTTTCCACCTAATTTTCTGTAGTTTTCATCTGTTATTGGGAGCATCCTCGCTAGCAAATGCTCAGGATGCATTTATCAGACAGTATATTAACTTTAATTAGTTCTTCTAAGTTTGGTCAGCTACACATTATCACTTGATTAAATGAAGGTTGTGAAACACTGATAGAAAGTGTATTTACAAAATAATGTATGGAAACATACATTTACTTTGAAAAAATGAATTATTCCCCCCGAGATACACAACGGAACATGTGAGGCCATACTGAGTATGAAAGTCATGCTAACAGTGGCTGATTCTTGCAAAACATTATGGTCTGAACTAACAGGATTACTTGTTCTAAGTCCCATGTTAAAATAGCTTTTGTCCTTTTCTTAGGAAATATCAATCTCACATTCAAAAAACTAGCTTCAACTTAGTGCCTAGACATAAAACTAGTCAGAGAAAAATACATCCACCCAGCTCCCTGCGTCCAGGTACAGAAATACCCCTCCAATACTCTATAATATGGGCCAGCTATGACTTTATGCTAGGGCAGTGTTTCTCAAAAGGTTAAAATAGGAATTATTTTAAGTCCACTGGATAAAAATGCATCTGTTTCATTGTTTCATTTGAAACAGTTTGGTCAGAAGTCACATGTGGAGTGTGCTCGATTTTCTCCAGATGGTCAGTATTTGGTCACTGGGTCTGTTGATGGATTCATTGAAGTATGGAACTTTACTACTGGAAAAATCAGAAAGGTAAAGTATTTTAAATGTGTTAACCTTCCTAGTGAAAAAATTACTGATTTTGAATTACTTATGTATGCCCTCACTCTAAATCAGATTAGTTGAAAAAGGATCTGAATGTAATGAACATGTATTACTTTTGTAATTTAAAAACTCATTTAAAGCTAGGGACAGTGGTGCATACCTGTAGTCCTAGCTACTCAGGAGGCTGAGGCAGGAGGATCACTTAGTTGAACCCATCACTTAGTTCAACTCATCCTGGGCAGCATAGTGAGACCGTGTCTCTACAAAAAAAATTTTTTTTTTTTTAATTAACCATGCATGCTTGTGTGCACCTATAGTTTTAGCTGCTTGGGAGGCTGAAGTGGGAGGATCCCTCAAGCCCAGGAGTTTGAGGCTGCAGTGAGCCATGATTGTGCCACTGCATTCTAGCCTGGGCAGTGATGCTGTCTCCAAAAAATAAAAACGGTATTTTTAATTAAATTCCAATTTTATTAACCAGGAGAGGACCTTTATTATCTATAATTGTTTTATTATCTATTATTTTTACAAGTAAAACACTTTTTTTCAGGCTGGGCACAATGGCTCAGGCCTGTAATCCCAGCACTTGAGGAGGCTGAGGCGGGTGGATCAACTGAGGTCAGGAGTTTGAGACGATCCTGGCCAACATGGTGAAACCCCGTCTCTATTAAAAAGACAAAAAAAAAAATTAGTTGGGCATGGTGGTGGGTGCCTGTAATCCCAGCTACTTGGGAGGCTGAGGCAGGAGAATCGCTTGAACGCGGGAGGCGGAGGTTGCAGTGAGCCGACATCGTGCCACTGCACTCCAGCCTGGGCAACAAGAGCGAAACTCTGGCTCAGAAAAAAACAAAAAACAAAAAAACAGAGTTTCGTTCTTGTTGCCCAGGCTGGAGTGCAGGGGCACGATCTCAGTTCACTGCAACTTCCGCCACCCGGGTTCAAGCGATTCTCCTGCCTAAGCCTCTGGAGTAGCTAGGATTACAGGCATGTGCAAAAAAAAAATTTTTTTTTTTCCAAGGGGTTATATGTACAACTGATACAACGTTCAGAAAACAGAATAAGTTACTCAAGTAGCATTTTGCTCCTACACTTGTACCTCAGCTAGTCAGTTACCTTCCTTGGGCCAGCCAGGATTACCAGTTTCTTTATGTAACTTTCCTGGAATATCCTGTGTGTGTGTTATTTATTATGTATCCTTTTCAAAATTGTTTTAATACAGGTGATAGCATACTACATACCCTGTTACACTTCCTGCTTTTTATAGCATATGTTAGAGATTATTGGTATATTATATTACATTGCATGGATTGAACCATGATGTATTTAACCACCCATTTTATTTAAGATCATTTCCAATCTAACCTAATGGTAGTACTAATTCTATTTCTCTTATGAATGAAGTTAAACATCTTTTTATATGTGAAAAGCCGCCAATATTTCTTTTTTATTTTACTGAAGCCACTAATATTTCTTACACTATGAAGTCTGTTAACATATTTTGCCCGTTTTTCTTTTTTTTTTTTTTTTTTTTGAGACGGAGTCTCGCTCTGTCGCCCAGGCTGGAGCGCAGTGGCTGGATCTCAGCTCACTGCAAGCTCTGCCTCCCAGGTTTACGCCATTCTCCTGCCTCAGCCTCCCGAGTAGCTGGGACTACAGGCGCCAGCCACCTCTCCCGGCTAGTTTTTTTGTATTTTTTTTTTAGTAGAGACGGGGTTTCACCATGTTAGCCAGGATGGTCTCGATCTCCTGACCTCGTGATCCGCCCGTCTCGGCCTCCCAAAGTGCTGGGATTACAGGCTTGAGCCACCGCGCCCGGCCCTTTTGCCCGTTTTTCTATTGGATTGTTCTTTATTGATTTGTAGGAGCTCTTTATATTTTAAGGAAATTAAATTTTATAATATACATTACAAATATTTTAAAATTTTGACTTTTAAGTCTTGATTTTGCTTGTTTTACAGACTTAAATTTTTTTATATCATTAAATTTATTCATCTTTTCTCCTACAGTTTCTTCTAGTACTTTAATCTTTTATTTTATGTTTAATTATTGACCCTTCTAGAATTTGTTTAGGAGGATAAAGTTGGTATAGATCCAACTTAGTTTTTTCCTCAAATAGCTATTTACTAACTTTTATTCACTGATTTAAAATATAATTTTTGACTGGGCGCGGTGTTTCATGCTTGTAATCCCAGCACTTTGGGAGGCTGAAGTTGGTAGGTCACTTGAGGTCAGGAGTTCCAGGCCAGCCTGGCTGACATGGTGAAACCCTGTCTCTACTAAAAATATAAAAATTAGCTGGGTGTTTTGGTGCGGACCTGTAATCCTACTTGGGAGCCTGATGCAGGAGAATTGCTCGAACCCAGGAGGCAGAGATTTCAGTGAGCCGAGATCGCATTACTGCACTGCAGCCTGGATGACGGAGCAAGACTCTGTCTCAAAAATAAATAAATAAAATGTAATTTTTATCGTGGAGTGCCAAATTCTACTCTATGGGTAGTGGATTTATGAGTGATTTTTACTTTCTACTTTATTTTATTTTATTTATTTTTTTTTGAGATGGAGTCTCGCTCTGTCGCCCAGGCTGGAGTGCAGTGGCCGGATCTCAGCTCACTGCAAGCTCCGCCTCCTGGGTTTACGCCATTCTCCTGCCTCAGCCTCCCGAGTAGCTGGGACTACAGGCGCCTGCCACCTCGCCCGGCTAGTTTTTTTTTTTTTCGTATTTTTTAGTAGAGACGGGGTTTCACCGGGTTAGCCAGGATGGTCTTGATCTCCTGACCTCGTGATCTGCCCGTCTCGACCTCCCAAAGTGCTGGGATTACAGGCTTGAGCCACTGCGCCCGGCCTTACTTTCTACTTTATATATTTCTGTATAGTTTGCTTTTATTTTTTGAACCAGGTAGCTGTCTCACTTTATAATTAGAAAAAAAAAAGAAAGATAATCCATTTGAAAAATAATGGATAATAAAAGAAGCATCACAAATAAATAGATTAGTAAACTGTTTCAGGAAACGTAGCTGATGATTTGGAAAAAATATTAGTTTAGTTTCCCACATCATACAGAAATAGGTAAATTCAAATTTATTAAATATGTAAAATACGAAACTAGATAAATTTTGCCTAGAAAAAATCAGTAAGCAAAAGATCTAGAGTAGTATGTTGGTATTTTTAATAATACTAATTTGAATTGTATAAAATTATTTATCCCCAGCAATATCACTAGGAACTAGTTACTAGGAGCATGTATGCATGGCACTTCTGTTTATTTTGGGGGTTTAGAGTAGGTACAATCCATTGCCCTGGTTTTTGTGAGTTTGTAGAGAACTGGGGCCTTGACTTTTGTGTTATTTTGATAACTGCTAACCATTGTTTCTTTAGGATCTTAAGTACCAGGCCCAGGATAACTTTATGATGATGGATGATGCTGTCCTGTGCATGTGTTTCAGCAGAGATACAGAAATGTTAGCAACTGGGGCCCAAGATGGAAAAATCAAGGTATGGATTAGTGCCACAGCCTCTCATGTGTAGACATTTTGAATGTTATGCTATGGGGTAGTGTCCTGTATATGATATTCAGCACAATAATAGCTACTGATTATGGAGCATCAGCTTTATGCTAATCACTTTACTTTTTCTTGTGTAATCTTAATAATAACTCTGCCTGGGTGATCCAGTAACATGTTTAAGGTCGCATACTTGGTAAGTGATAGATCTGGGACTTTAGTTCACATCTGCTTAAGCCCTTTCTGTTGTACCATCCTGGCTTGCTGTATAAAAATCAAAATCACTGACCTCTTTTTTAAGGGGATGATCTAATAGCCAGTTTGTTGTGGTTTGTATTTAATGCTAGAAATACATCCTGGGCTACAAAAATTGCAGAAATGGTCTCTGCTAAGTGAACTTACAGTCTATATTTTTGTTTTAATAATTTACATGAAAAGAGTTTTAAGTTTCAAAGGATTCAGTTACCATTGTACTACGTGAACCAGACACATCATATTCAGCTATTAGCATGCATTTTTAATGCTGTTTCAGTACATTAATGAGCATTGCATCTTACTTGGCTCTATGGGCTATAGTAGGACACTTTACAAGTTTTTTTTAAATTCTTTTTTTTTCAAATAAAGGTATGGAAGATTCAGAGTGGACAGTGTTTAAGGAGATTTGAGAGGGCACACAGTAAGGGTGTCACCTGTCTAAGCTTCTCTAAGGATAGCAGTCAGATCCTTAGTGCTTCTTTTGACCAGACAATTAGGTAAGTAAAAATCCCAAAACTGTTCTCACTTGAGTTTGATATAATGAGGCCCTGGAGGGAGGTACTAGTGATCCCTTATGCTTTTACCATGATGGTGTGATACGGAGAGAGAAGGTATGTGAGACCTTATGTCCCCAAAGTACAACTCACACAGTGTTGTTGTTTTGTCCATTTGTGTCTTTACCCAGAGGAGAGATTTGAAAGGGGGTAGCAGTGATTCATGTTTCTCAGAATATGGTCCTATGGACTTATCTGTATCATAATCACTTTAGAGGGTCTGTTATACTGGGACTCAGCTGAGACCCACTGATCTCAGTCTTCTGTTAACCTGTTTTTTAGAGGTCTATCCCTGAACAGAAGCTTGTGGTGGTATTGGCATGTCTTCTTCCAGCCTCTTTCTTTGCAAAGCTTTTGTTTGATTGTTTGATATAATGAAAATTATACCATGTACACAATCACATAGCCCTCTTAATATTATAACATGAGCTTCTGTAATTTATCTAAAATGCATTCAATCATTGGTCACAACCATAAGATATTAAATATTTATTGTTCTTTTCATTTACTTTCATTTGGTAGAATTCATGGTTTAAAATCTGGGAAAACACTGAAGGAATTTCGTGGCCATTCCTCCTTTGTTAACGAAGCAACATTTACACAAGATGGACATTACATTATTAGTGCATCCTCTGATGGCACTGTAAAGGTTAAGTATTTGCTTTCGGTTTATTTTGGGATGTCTACCCCATCTTTGTCCTTTGAGGAGTTTTCAGTGGTGATAATGGGAATGATTGTGCTGTAGTAAACCTCTTTACTGGCTATTTTAGCCATAATTGAGGTGAGTCTGAGACAACAACAGTATTCTGTGGGTAATTCCCATTGGCCTTGGGACTCCAATCTCAAACTTTTTCAATCCAAACGAACTTTCTCATGTGTAGGAAAAGAGGAAGGGTGAAGAGTCCTAAAGTTAAGCCATCCCCCATTCACAGATACACACGGTGGTTAAATGTGTTTTGCCGTAGGTGTGGTCTACCTGCTAACAGTCAAATTCACGAAAGGCTCAGTGGCCTGATAAATAGATCTCTTTTTTTGTTGCACAGCCTCGCTGCATTCCTGGTCCCCAAATTTAGAGCCTTCCTAGTAGCATTTATAGAGGAATAGGAGAAGTGTTGAGTAAAACTAAGCCTTCTCCTAGATAGTTATTTAGTAAGTAATTTGCTGAAAGTAATGGATCTTCAGTACCTTTAAAGATTTAGTTATTTTTAGAGAGGGTCTCATTTCCTAGAAAAGATATGAGAAACCCAAATAGAAAATTATTAGAGATCTCTGAGACACTCTACGTTTTGGACCTAATCTTTTTGACTTGCCTTATATGAGTGAGTACTTTGTGGCAGAAGATCTAGACATTTTAACAAAACATTTTAACACATATATCTAGACATTTTAGATACATATTTAAGTATCTAAAATTCAGACAGTCAGGTGTGGTGGCATACACCTGTAGTCCTAGCTACTTAGGAGGCTCAGGTGAAAGGATCACTTGAACCCAGGAGTTTGAGGCTGCATTGAGCAATTTTCACACCACTGTACTTCAGCTTGGGCAAGAGAGCAAGAACCTGTCTCAATCAATAAATGTATGTGTATATACATGTATGTATGTACATATGTATGTCAGACCACCGTCTGAAAATGCTGTTCGTGATTGGAAATTGAACTGGAAACCGGAAGGCAGGAGATGTATGCTCCCTTGGGATGAGTGGAAAAATCATGCAAAGCTGTTAGTACTTCAGTCATGGGATTTGCTCTCATGCTATGCATATGGGCCTCACAACTTGTAAATGCCACTGGTAGATGGCTTGTCTAAGCTTCTTTATTTTGTGGTCTTTCCCCCTTAGTTTTGCAGTGAGTGGGGCAAAGCATGTCACTGACCTTTTGAATGGAAAACACTGGAAGCCTTAGCATTCTTAATTCCTGAAATGTTCATTTTTTCTTCTAAGCATCTGGGCTTCAGAGGAGATTAGGGCAGGCGATAACGGTATTGACACCAGGGCAACTGTTTTCTCCTGTTTATGAGTATTTATTCAACATCTGCTTTGTGCCAAGCTCCATGGAAGGCACAGAGGAAACACAGCAGAGTCCATGCCTTAGAGACTTTGTGCCTGGTGAATTGAGTGGTATCTGGACAATGCTATTTAATGTTTGGTCCATCCCTTCTCTAAGCACATCTCAGATTTCTGTGCTACCTGATTTAACCCTTTCAGTTCATAAGAGCCCAGAAGGACAAGGTGAAAAGATAGACTGGGAGAAGTAATACAAGTGGCCAAGAGTAGCTTCCACTTCAAAGTTCCTCGTGTGTGTGCTAACATTGTGACTTCTGTTCAGTCATTGTCAGTATAAACTGTACATTGGAATCATTTGTAGCTTTAAAAAAAATGCCTGTGCCTCACCCTAGACCTACCACATCAAAATCTCAGGATAGAGTCTCAAGCTAAAAAGCCTCTATTTGAGCCAGGCTCAGTGGCACCTGCCTGTAGTCCCATACTCAGGAGGCTGAAGTGACAGAATTGCTTGAACCCAGGAGTTTAACGCCAGCGGGGACAATAGGGCAAAATAGCGAGATCTCATCTCATTTTAAAAAAAGAAAAGCTCCTGTTTTTGTTTTGTTTGTATTTTATTTTAATTATTTTAAATAGAGATAAGATCCCACTATATTGCCTAGGCTGGTCTTGAACTCCTGGCCTCAAGTGATCCATACGCCTTGGCTTCCCAAAGTGCTGAAATTACAGGCGTGAGCCACCATGCCTGACCCCCTATTTGGTTTTGATATCCAGACAAGGGTAGCTTTCTGGTTGTTTATGACAGTAGCAGTGTTGACAAACAACTAATTTTAAAGAGAGAGACAGCTCTATTGGCTAAGGAAAAAGGTATTAGAAAAGATCATAGTTTTTTTAAAGTTTTTAAATTTTAGTTTGTGACTTGTTTTTGCCAATTCATCAACAAATACATGATGAATACTTACTCTATACAGTTGGTCCTCTGTATCTGGAACATGGATTCAGCCAGTCACCAATTGAAAATATTTGGGGGAAAAAAAGAAAATTCCACAAAGTTCTAAAAAGCAAAACTTAAATCTGCCCCATGCCAAGTACTACATTGAATCCATACAAAGGAAGTGGTGTGTGGGCATTGTATTAGGTGTTATAAGTAATCTAGAGATGATTTAAAGCATACAGTAGGATGTGCATGGGTTATATGCAAATACTGCATCATTTTATATATGGGACTTGAGTATCCTTGGATTTTGGTATCTAAAGGGGATCCTGGAAACAATTCGCCCACAGATACTGAGGGACAACTGTATATGGCAGTGCTGGATATTTGATTGGACCTAAAATCAAGTAAGAAACTTTTTTCCCCTGAGTCATTTCTACTCTTTTTTAGTAACCTGTTAATGTTTTAAACCCTAAAACTTTAGACATTTTTGTATCTAAAAAAAGGTTTGTAACTTAAATTTTTGTGTGGTAGATCTGGAATATGAAGACCACAGAATGTTCAAATACCTTTAAATCCCTGGGCAGCACCGCGGGGACAGATATTACTGTCAACAGTGTGATTCTACTTCCTAAAAACCCTGAGCACTTTGTGGTGTGCAACAGATCAAACACGGTGGTCATCATGAACATGCAGGGGCAGGTGAGTGTTCAGAAGTACCCTTGCACAGGACCTGTGGGCCATTCCCAAATCAGCACATCCTGGTCCAGGCCCACCCTCCCAATAACCAAATTTGGGTTCCTTTCTCTGTAAAAAGACTGGGAAAAGTAATACAAGTGGCCAAGAGTAGCTTTTTTGGATTTATTTGTAGCTCTGTAAACTATCTCTTTGGTATTTCAAAAGTGATCTCCTTTCCCCTGGGTGTTTGTATATTAAGCATTTTCATCCTTTGGATAAATGAAGCTCCTATCTGTCTTTAAGCCTCCTTCAGAACCTCACTGAAGATTTTAAGATAACAATGTTTGTCTGAGTTAGGGGGATACAGTGTAGTACGGATTACCAACTCAGGACATCTCCTAGCTACCACGCTCTAAAATGGAACACTAATAGGAGAAAGGCAGCAGTGTCCTCAGTGTATTTTTAGTCAGAAAACCTGCAAGGTTCTCAAGGAATCTCACTTTTGTGGACTGTGAGGTAGCACTGGGGGCGTCAGAAGCATCAAGTTTGAGGACTCAAGTCCTAGGTATGTATGGTAGTGCTACTGGATTATTGGCCTGGACACTTGGGGATCTTGCTGACCATAGAGAAGACCCAGGGGCTGGTGTATAGTACTGTCTTTCCATTCTTTGAGTTCTATAACTGATGGAGTAGTAGTTCAGAATCCATAGCTGGGATGGCTGGTCTGCAGTATCTTTTGGGCCACTGCATAGTAGCTACAGCTGTCCAGTACATCTGCTGAGCACACTTCATAGTTCTGTGCTTGACTTTTAAAAATACTTTATTTTGAAAAAATAATTTTAGATTCATATAGAAGCTGCAAAAGTAGTACAGAAGAGTTCCATGTTTCCCTCTCTCAAATTCTTCCAAGGATAACATCTTATATAATGATAATACAGTGATCATATATAGGAAATTGACATTGGTACAGTTATTAACTCTATTACAGATCTTATTTAGATTTAACCAGTTTTGGTTAAATCTAAGATTTAACATGCATTTTTTTTTTTTTTTTTAAGCAGGGATATAATCGTTCTGTAACGTTTCATTACATGTATAGAGTCATGTAACCACCATTACAATCAGGATACAGAACTGGTTTTTTGTTTGTTTGTTTGTTTGTTTTTGAGATGAAGTTTTGCTCTTGTTGCCCAGACTGGAGTGCAATGGCGTGATCTCGGCTCGACCTCCGCCTCCCGGGTTCAAGCGATTCTCCTGCCTCAGCCTCCCGAGTAGCTGGGATTTCTAGTAGAGACAGGTTCACTCCAAGTTGGTCAGGCTGGTCTCGAACTCCTGATCTCAGGTGATCCGCCTGCCTCCACGTCCGAACGTGCTGGGATTACAGGTGTGAGCCACCGTGCCCGGCCAGGATACAGAAATGTTTTATCATTCCCAAAGAAACTCTCACGCTACATCTTTATACTTACATCTTCCCCATAACCCTAGCCCCTGGCAACTACTGATCAGTTTTCCATTGTCATAATTTGTTGTTTTTTAAAAAACAGACTTTTAAGAGCAGTTTTAGGTTAACAGCAAAATTGAGCAGAAAATACGGAGGGTGCCCATATTTCCTCTGTCCCTCCCACCGGAACAGCCTTCCCCACTATCAGTATCTCGTGCCAGAGTGGTATGTTTGTTACAGCTTATGAACGTGCATTTGGTACATCATTAACACACAAAGGCTATAGTTTACATTAGGATTCATTCTTGGTGGTGTATGTTCTGTAGGTTTGGACAAATGTATAATGGCAGGTGTCTACCATTAGAGAATTGTACAGAGTAGTTTCACTTCCAAGAAATTCTCTATGCCCTTTCTATCCTTCCTCCCTCCCCACTAACTTCTGGCAACCACTGATCTTTTTCTGTCTCCATAGTTTTGCCTTTTCTAGGAAGTCATGTAGTCGGAAACATAAAATATGTACCTTTTTCATTTTGACTTTTAATAATATGCATTTTTCTCCTTGTTTTTTCATGGTTTGATAGCTTATTTTTTATTTACTTTTTTTGAGACGGAGTCTCACCCTCTCCCCCAGGCTGGAGTGCAGTGGCGCAATCTCAGCTCACTGCATCCTCTGGCCCCCAGGTTCAAGTGATTCTCCTGCCTCAGCCTCCTGAGTAGCTGGGATTACAGGCATCTGCCACTGCGCCCTGCTAATTTTTGTATTTTTAGTAGAGACGGGGTTTCACCATCTTGGCCAGGCTTGTCTTGAACTCCTGACCTCATGATCCACCCACCTTGGCTCCCCAAAGTGCTGAGATTACAGGCGTAAGTCACCATGCCCGGCTTTTTTTTTTTTAAATGCTGAATAACATTTATTTATCCAGTCATCTACTGAAGGACTTCCAAGTTTTGGCAATTATGAGTAAAGCTGCTATAAACATCCATGTGCAGATTTTTGTGTTAATATGTTTTCTCTTTCTTTGGGTAAATGCTAAGTAGTGTGATTACTGGATTGTATGGTAAAGTATGTTTAGTTGTAAGAAACTATTAAACTGTTCCAAAATGGATGTATCATTTTGTATCGTCACCCTTGGTGAATGAGAGTTCCTGTTACTGCACATCCTCACCAGCACTGGGTGTGGTCAGTGTTCTGGATGTTGGCCATTCTAATAGGTGTGTAGTGGTATCTCATTTTAATTTGCATTTCCCTAATGAAATGTGGAAATCTTTTCGTGTGCTCATTTGTCATCTGTATACTTCTGGCGAAGTGTCTGTTTCAGGTATTTGACTCATTTTTCAATTGGGTTGTTTTCTTGCTGTTGAATTTTAAGAGTTCTTTATATGTTTTGGATAATAGTTCTTTATCAAATCTAGTTTTTACAGATATTTTCTCCCCATCCGTGGCTTGTCTTTTCATTTTCTTCCTTTTTTTTTTTTTTTTTTTTTTTTTTTTTTTTGAGGCAGAGTCTTGCTCCATTGCCCAGGCTGGAATGCAGTGGCATGGTCATAGCTCACTGCATCCTTGAGCTCCTGGGCTCAAGAAATCTTCCTGCCTAAGCCTTCTAAGTGGCTGGGAGTACAGGCATGTGCCACAATGCCCGACTTTGTGTGTGTGTGTGTGTGGAAATGGGGTCTTGCCATGTTGCTGATGCTGGTCTCAAACTCCTGGCCTCAAGTGATCCTCCCGCCTTAGCCTCCCAAAGTGCTGGAATTACAGGCATGAGCCACTGCATCTGGCTTCATTTTCTTGACAGTGGCTTTTACAGAGCAGAAGTGTTTAATTTTAATGAAATCTAGCTTATCAGTTATTTCATGGATCGTGTCTTTGGAATTGTATCTAAAAAGTCATCAAACTCAAGATCGTCTAGATTTTCTTTTTTGTTTTCCTCTAAGAGTTTTATATACAATTTTGAGTTTTACATTTAGGTCTGTGATCCATTTTGAGTTAATTTTTGTGAAGACTGTAAGGTCTTTATTTTATTGTGTCTAGATTCATTTTCTTGCATATAAATGTCCAGTCATGGCATGTCTTGTTGAAAACACTATCTTTTCTTTATTACATTGCTTTTGCTTCTTTGTCAAAAATCAGTTGAGTGTATTTCTGGGCTTTGTATTCTGTTCCATTGATCTGTTCTTTTACCAATACCACACTGTCTGGATTACTATAGCTTTGTGTAAATCTTGAAGTTGGTTATTGTGAGCCCTCCAACTTTGTCCTTCTCTTTCAATATTGAGTTCACTGTTCTGGGTCTTTTGCCTCTTTGTGTAAGCTTTAGAATTGGGTTGTCAATATCCACAAAATACTTTGCTGGGATTTTGATTGGGATTGTGTGAAATCTATAGATTAAGTTGGGAAGAACTGATGTCTTTACCATATTGAGTCTTCCAATTCATGAACATAGACTATCTCTCTGTTTAGTTCTTTGATATCATTCATCAGAATTTTGTAATTTTCCTCATTTAAATATTGTATGTATTTTGGTAGATTTATACCTAAGTATTTTCACTTTGGGGCTGCTAATGTAAATGGTATCATGTTTTAAATTCAAGTTAATTCCAATCCCTAACCCTTGGCAATCACTGATCTGTTTTCCATTATTATAATTTTGTCATTTTGAAAATGGTATAGAAATGGAAGCATATAGTATGTAGACTTTTCGGATTGGTTTCTCTCAGCTTGGTTTATGATGATTTTAATGTTGTATCAATAGAGCAAGCAAAGTCTTAGAGACAAAGTATCATCCTGCATGGGGAAAGCTTCTCATTCTGTTAGAGGAAACTGGGGAGCAGACATCCAGAAAGCTTTGAGAACTACTGGTATATTGATTTAGAAAATTGTTTTATGTATGGCAATGAAATTTGCTTAAGGGTAATATGTCTCTTTAGGGCATGATTGGTGATGTGGGATGTATGAATTCTAAATTTTTGTCTGCCATTTAGTTTAGATTACTTATCTATTGAATATTTCCCAGGCATGGGGAGTTAGCACATGCTGAACAGGATTGGAGATCTAATTACAAATGATAGTAAACCAAAGTGCAAAATAACAACGTAAAAATGTCACTTGAAAAGGCTGCACATGGTTGAGCTGCTACTAATCCTGATGTTTTTGTCTTGGGGTGTGGTGTGATCTAGATTGTCAGAAGCTTCAGTTCTGGTAAAAGAGAAGGTGGGGACTTTGTTTGCTGTGCCCTCTCTCCCCGTGGTGAATGGATCTACTGTGTAGGGGAGGACTTTGTGCTCTACTGTTTCAGTACGGTCACTGGCAAACTGGAGAGAACTTTGACAGTGAGTATTACTTACTAAGTTCATCTAAAGAAATATGGTAAGACTTGTGTCTTTCTGAACTCTGAAGTATGTGCCTTTTCCAGACTACTATCAATGTGACCCTCAGTATAAAAAACATTGTTTTAAAACATTTAGCTCCATGTTAAATTCAAGAAGTAAAATTAATGTCAGCTGCTATGATGATCCCCAAATCTCAGTGGCTTAACACTAAACAAGTTTATTTTTTATTTTATTTTATTTTATTTTATTTTGAGAAGGAGTCTCACTCTGTCACCTGGGCTAGAATGCAGTGGTGTGATCTCAGCTCACTACAACCTCTGCCTCCTGGAGTCAAGTGATTCTCCTGCCTCAGCCTCCCGAGTAACTGGGACTACAGGCACATGCCACCACTTCTGGCTAATTTTTTGTATCTTTAGTGGAAACGGGGTTTCACCATCTTGGCCAGGCTGGTCTTGAACTCCTGATCTCAAGTGATCCACCTGCCTCCGCCTCCCAAAGTACTGGGATTACAGACATGAGCCACTGCACCCAGCCTAAAGTTTATTTCTTATTATGTCACAATGTGATGTGAGTTGGAAAACCTTCCTCCATCTTTCTCCTATGCCATTTGGAATATCAGGCCTTGATCTCTTTCCCTTCCACCCAGCTCTGGAAGCGTCATCAGAGTGATTTATTGCAGATCTGTACACCCTAACCCTGTGCTTTACGTGTTCCAGGTGCACGAGAAGGATGTGATTGGTATTGCACATCACCCTCATCAGAACCTGATTGCTACCTACAGTGAAGATGGACTCCTAAAGCTCTGGAAACCATAATTCAACTTTCCTTTTTAAATCAGTGAAAGCACATACTTAAATGAAGGCATAGTCATGTAATGTGCTTTTTTTTTCTTTCTTTTTTTTTTGGCCCACTTTTCTAAGCAAATAGATTGTCTGAATTAGTCACAAGAATAATTTTGTGAAAATTCATGTTTAAGTAGCAAGTATCCCTTCCTTTTTTTAATATATTTTTAAGGTACTAGTTTATCTTCTAACTGGTGCAGTCACTTAATGTTTTCATTAATCTTATACCTGGAAAGTGAAATACCGATTTTCTAGAAAAAAATTCTACTCCTTTGATTATTTGAAATGCTGATTAAAATGTCCCTCCTATAGTAAAACTTGTAAATAAGGAACTATATCATATTCAGTAGCTGTATTCTGTTCCATCTTTTTTTTTTTTTTTTTTTTTTTTGAGATGGAGTTTTGCTTGTTGCCCAGGCTGGAGTGCAGCGGCACGATATTGGTTCACTGCAACCTCCGCCTCCCAGGTTCAAGCGATTCTCCTGCCTCAGCCTCCTGAGTAGCTGGGACTATAGGTGTGTGATACCATGCCTGGCTAATTTTTTTGTATTTTTAGTGAGATGGGATTTCACCGTGTTGGCCAGGCTGGTCTCACACTCCTGACCTCAAGTGATCCAACCGCCTTGGCCTCCCAAAGTGCTGAGATCACAGGCATGAGCCACCATGCCCAGCCCATCTTTTTTTTTTTGAAGATGTTAATAAACTTTATACCTTTCTGGAGACTTTGTTCTAAAATGTAAATAAATGCTCATCTAGTTAACATATTTACTTAGAATTTGGGAGGAGGAGTGACATTATTATCCCCGAATCTCAAGTATAGCAGAAGTGAATTCCTGGGATAGTAGGATAGACTAACATGTAAAAAGGCCAGGTGATGCATAGGTTCTCATTTCACTGCCCTCAGCTTTCCTCTCCTTCTGAGCTGTGCCTTCTCACATGTTCAATCAACTCCAGGGAATATTGTCTCCATCTTCTGAATAGAACTAGTTGCAGGATCCGTTACAAGAAATCAGAGTTTTGTCATCTCCCCTTTGTACGTTGTAGGGGATGGTTTGGCATTGGAAATGTGCTGTTGTTTCAAAGAAAAATTAGCAAAAGTACTTGAGATTTAGAAAAGTCTCCTTTGTAATGTGCATCATTACCAGTTAGCTAAAGAAAAACATGTAAAAGTCAACAAAACCCTTGAAAATATTTTGCATATGGATGTCTGTTTCATGTTTCAACTAAAGATGTATAGAGCACCTCTGATGATGAGGAAGATACTGTGCTAGGCACTACTTTCAAGAATGTGAGTTCTTGTTTCCACAGGCCTTTTGTGCCCCCTTTTAAATGTTAGCATTTATTAGGTACACACTAATGGGGAAGGTTTTTTTAAAGTTTTGCAGTCTTGTAATTTACTTTTTTTAAAAATTTATTTTATTTTTTTGAGATGGAGTCTTGCTCTGTTGCCCAGGTTGGAGTGCAATGGTGCCCTCTCAGCTCACTGCAACCTCCACTTCCCAGGTTCAAGCGATTCTTGATACTTCCCGAGTAGCTGGGAATACAGGCACATGCCACCATGCCTGGCTAATTTTTATATTTTTAGTTGGGGGGGGGGCGGGGAGTTTCACCATGTTGGTCAGGCTGGTCTTGAACTCCTGACCTCAGGTGATCTGCCTGCCTCGGCCTCCCAAAGTGCTGGGATTACAGGCATGAACCACCGCGCCCAGCCTTGTAATTTACCTTTGATTGTGACTTGAAATGCAGTATGATCCTATGTGGGGCACGTAGTAATGTTCAGTGTTTGCTGAATTAATTCTGAGCGACACTAAGAAATCCCTCTTTCCCAGTCATATTCTGTAACACATTTCCCATTTGCCACAAAACCTGCAGCTTTTTGGCCCAGGTAATGTCATTTGCTGCCATTTTGATGATTTTAAAATGGTCGTGGGAGTTGAACATAGTCATGAATTCAGGATTCCTGAGAATGTAGACAGCCATCCCAGTGGAAAGAAACGTTCACTTAAGTAAGAGAAGTTGAAGTTAGAAAGAGGAAACAGTTTATGCTAAAAAAAAATTTTTTAAAGTCTTTGAGAAGAATTTTTGATTTAGTTTTGACCTCATGAAGCTGGTACTTATGCATAGTTTGTACCACCGTTTATGAAGATAGAGAATCTAGTCAGCACGTGTTGGTTTATTCTAGGAATTTTTATGGAACACTTCTGTTGCTGGCACCAAGTGCTGAATATGGTTTAAAAAAAGACTCGCCTAAACATAGGGAAGAAGAGCATATTAAAAGGAGTAACTAAAACTGATAAAAGCTCAAGTCACCTTTCTGATGATGAGAGGCGGGGCACTTAACGCGAAAGGGTTGGGAAAGGCTTCCTGGAGGGACTGGGAGGCGATCTAAGCACAGGGAACCTTCCCGGGGACTGCAGTGTGGCATAGCGGCAAGGTATGTGCTGGGCAAATGATAGGTGTCTTGGGAGACAAGGCAAACAGAGCTGGATTAGGAGCCATTAAGTATGTATTTTTCTTTTTAAATAAAATAATGCACTGGGTGAACATGTAAACGCTAAGTTGAAAATCTGCCTTTCCCAGGTAACCCTTGTTAATCTTTCTACAACTTCATTTCGTACAAACCTGAAAAATAGTGTTTTTGTCTTTAAATGGGCACACGCTCCTTAACACTGCTGGGCGCCCAGGCTTTCTGAAGCCCCATGCGGCCGTCCCTCCAGCACTGAAGGCTGGGACAGCCCAGCTCCCCTCTAGCGCCCGCACAGCCAGACCGCGGCGGGGACGGGCGGCGCACGCGCGGGGCCGCCGCCCACGGCCGGATCTGGGGCGCCGCCGCTCCGGGTGGGCGCCAGGCAGGAGTCCTATCTTGGGTCCAGGGCCGGTAGAGCCCCTTACCGGGGGTAGGGAGACCGCGCACCCGCCAGAGCCAAGTGTCAGGGCCTGCAGACGTCGGGTGAAGCCACTGTTAAAAAATTGGCGGTCACATCGTGGTAAAGGCGGGTGGCAGCAGCTAAGCGAAGGGGAGTCGGCTGCTGGGAATCACTGCGCACTTCTGAATTGGGCGTGTGCAGTCGGTTCCTAGGGAAGTGCTCTGCTGCAGCCACCAGATTTGACGGATGCTGCTCTCCAGCTCTTAACATAGAAGCTAAACTGGCGTTAAAATTCCATGAGCATAAGGACATTTGTCCTATCCCCCATTCAGCTGTTGAATTAATGACTGGAAAACATTGCGCGGAGGTTTTTCGGGGTGATATGGTTTATTTTTTAAACAGCAAATGGTATAAATCTCAGATACAATTCAGTATCTTCTTCACCAGTTTTTTTTTCAGCTTGTATTATTAGTACCACTAACAGCGTCTGTTGAGCCCTTCATTGCTATGTAAGCAGCCATATTTAATTCTCAGAACAATGTAATGAGGGTGCGCAAATACACATCATGAAACAGGTTTCCAGACGTGAGGGACCTAACTCATTCCAACTTGCATGAAGCTGGTATTGAAAACCAGATGTGACTCCAAAGCTAGATTTCTTTTCTCTCTTGCCTCACTCTTAATATTGCTTAAGTTTCTCCTCAATCTTTAGGTTTGGGCAGGGGCAAAGAATACATGGGTTGTTCTTCCACATTCTGCAAAAACATTTACCTAAGCAGAGCACAGGTAGTGAGATGAGTAGAGAACCGAATTACAAGATTCTGGATGTCAGTCTTTGCTGTCACTTCTTTGGCTTGTGCTAGAACAGTGGTTCTTAAAGTGTCACCTGATAAATTGCTTGAAAGACACATTCTAAGGTCCTGTCCCAGACCTACAGAATCAGAAACTGGTGGTGGGGACCCAGCAAGCATGCTCAAATTTGAGAACAGGTAGACTACAGGGTAGTTTCCGCATATACAAAAGGTGTTTTAATTCTTGCTGTCAGTCTCAGAAGGTTCATGCTGAGATAACCAAATTTAAATGATAAAGGTGCAAGACTGTCTCTTAAAATCACATTTTTTCAAATTGCCATAGCTTGCTAGTGTTCTCATTCACTGTGCTCTTAAAGCTTCATTTTCCACTATTTTAAGAGAAGAAATTGCTATGAAGTGTATGTCCAAGTTAGGAAGTTCCCTGGACTGAGCTTGTTTAAAACTTGCAATAGGCCAGGTGCAGTGGCTCAAGCCTGTAATCCCAGCACTTTGGGAGGCCGAGGTGGGCGGATCATGAGGTCAGGAGTTCGAGACCAGCCTGGTCAACATGGTAACACCCCGTCTCTACTAAAAGATACAAAATTCGCTGGGCATGGTGGCTCACGCCTGTAGTCCCAGCTACCTAGGAGGCTGAGGCAGGAGAATAGCTGGAACCTGGGAGGCAGAGGTTGCAGTGAGCTGAGATTATGCCACTGCACTCCAGCCTGGGTGACAGAGCGAGACTTGGCTTAAAAAAAGAAAAAAAATCAACAACAAAAAACTTGCAATAGCAGGGGCTGCCCATTACTTAACCTTCCACAGCAATTTTAACAGTGGTATTCTGTTCCAGTGGTTAATATTAAATCTATGTGTCAGTATTGGTGGCTTTCAACCTTGGCTGCGCATAATCATTTTGATGCTTAGGCTACACCTAGCCAAGTTATACAGAACCCCTGGAGGGTGGGACCTGATCAGTGTTTTAATGTTTCCCGGGTAATTCCAATGGTAGCCAAGGTTGAGAACCAGTACCACATGTACAAAAAAGTTGAGAAGCTAATTTCATGTACAGAAAATTTGCCACTGTTCCAAGAGCACTCTCAAGGGACATAATTGGCCTCTATTCCTATTCTCTACAAGTATGAACGGGCAGGAGAAGCATCACAGAGAAAGCAGAGTTAGTGCTGGAACTTGTATTTTTGTGATGTCCTTGGTTGTTTTAAGGGGCTTTGTTTTTTCATAGGTTCTCCCTCATTACGTTGTTCTGAGAATTAAATATGGCTGCTTACATAGTAATAAAGGGCTCAACAGAGGCTGTTAGTGGTAATAATACAAGCTGAAAAACTACACAAACCTATCAGTTTCTGCCTCTTCAGGATATAACTATTAGGTTAGTGCAAAAGTAATTGTGGTTTTTGCCATTAAAAGTAATGGCACATTACTTTTGCACCAACCGACCTAATATGACTTTTAGTGTTCTTAGGATTTTTAATTGTAAAACATATATAACAAAATTCCCAAACAATTGTGCAATTCAGTGGCATTATTTACAATGTTATGCAACCACTATTGTATTTCCAAAATGTTATCACCCTAAAACAGAAGCCCTGTAACATTGTCAATTAACTTCTCCTTCCCCTCCCCTGAGCCTTTGGTACTGTTCTGCCTCAATGCATTTGCCGTTTAGTTCATGTAAGTGAAATTATACAATATTTGTCCTTTTGTATCTGGTTTATTTCATTTAGCATGTTTTAAAGGTTCATCCACATATCAAACAGGAATGTGCTTCATATTTGGGGAAATTGTAAAAAGTATTCCTTTTAATGACTGTATATTTCACAGTATATTGTACACATTAACCATTTGTTGGTGGACACTCAGGTTTCTACTTTGGACTGTTGAGAATGCTGCAGTAAACACCATACAAGTATGAGCACTTTTTTTTTTTCTGAGACGGAGTCTCACTCTTGTCACCCAGGCTGGAGTGCAGTGATGCAATCTTGGCTCACTGCAACCTCCACCGCCTGGGTTCAAGCGGTTCTCCGGCCTCAGCCTCCCAAGTAGCTGGGATTACAGGTGCCCACCACCACACCCGGCTAATTTTTGTCTTTTTAGTGGAGATGGGGTTTCACCATGTTGGCCAGGCTGGTCTTCAACTCCTGACCTTAGGTGATCCGCCTGCCTAGGCTGCCCAAAGTGCCGACATTACAGGTATAAGACACCGCACCAGCCCTCCATTCTTTAATTCCTTTTGTATAGTCATCCCTCAGTATCCATGGGGGTACTGGTTCCAGGACTTTCCATGGATACCAGAATCTGAGGACACTCAAGTCCCTGACATAAAACGGCATGGTTATTTGTATATAACCTACACATCCTGCATAATTGAGCCATCTAGCTCTAGGTTAACTTGTAATACCTAATACAATGTAAATACTATGTAAACAGCTGTTACACTGTATTGTTTAGGGAGTAAGTCTATACATGGTCAGGAACAATTTTTCCCAATTGTTTTTGATCCAAGGTTGACTAAATCCATGGATGTGAAACCCAGAAAGGAGGGCCAGCTCTGGGTCATGTGGTAATTCCATGTTTAGCTTTTTTTTTGTACTGCAACTGCAACGTTTTACATTACCACCAACAAAGTACAGAGAGTTCCAATTTCTCCATATTCTATTTTCCATTTTTTGGATCAGCGCTATCCTAGTAGGTATGAAGTAGTATCTGGTTTTTATGTGCATTTCCTTTATGACTGACAAATGCCGAAAACGTTGTGAGATTTGCAAAAAATTTTAAGTGTCCTATAAACAATGCTTTTTCTTCTTGTTTTGAGACAGTCCTGCTGTCACCCAGGCTGGAGTGCAATGGCATCATCTTGGTTCACTGCAACCTCCTGACCTGGGTTCGAGCAATTCTGCCTCAGCCTCCTGAGTAGCTGTGACTACAGGTGAGTGCTACTGGCTAACTTTTGTACCTTTAGTAAAGTACACCACGTTTTCACCAAGGTGGCCAGGCTAGTCTCAAACTCCTGACCTCAGGTGATCTGCCTGCCCTGTTCTCCCAAAGTGCTGGGATCACAGGTATAAGCCACCGTGCCCAGCCCTAAACGATGCTCTTAAATATATTAAAACACAGGTTAAGAAATTTTTAGAATTTAGGCCGGGCGCGGTGGCTCAAGCCTGTAATCCCAGCACTTTGGGAGGCCGAGACGGGCGGATCATGAGGTCAGGAGATCGAGACCATCCTGGCTAACACTGTGAAACCCCGTCTCTACTAAAAATACAAAAAACTAGCCGGGCGAGGTGGTGGGCGTCTGTAGTCCCAGCTACTTGGGAGGCTGAGGCAGGAGAATGGCGTGAACCCGGGAGGCGGGGCTTGCAGTGAGCTGAGATCGCGCCACTGCACTCCAGCCTGGGCGACAGAGCGAGACTCCCGTCTCCAAAAAAAAAAAAAAAAAAAAATTTAGAATTTATACATAAAGCCAGTGAAAAGTGAAATCTGTCACAAGCACTTTTCTGAACACTGGTCAGTTATACTTTCCTGAACGTCTCTAACTTTAGGGTAGCTGTGGCTGTCTGGCACAGACTAAAAGGAAGTTGACAAACACGGATGGGTTGGGAACCTTACTTTTTAAACACAAAGTTCTCCTTCTTAAGCTTGTATTCTTTATGAGAACTTGTTCTCTCATGCTCACTCCAATGTATGCATAGTTTTCTAAGTCCCCTTCTTCTTGGCTCATTACCCAGTCCTCCACTTTTACTCTCCATCCTATTTAATATTAAATATTTAACTATAGTTCAATAGTATTTTTGCATCACTCAGACTAGCTAAAATCAAGTTATGTATCTTAAAAGCCAAAACTTGATGATCTGTGGGGAAAAAAAAGCCTGTAGTGACACACATTGGAGATGCTTTGTAATTAGTATATTAAGGAGACAATACAAGAATTGCTTAAATTCTGATACCGATTTAAGCATGTGAACATATGAGACTTTTAAACATACAATTAAAGCTATTCATCATAATTTGCTATACTACCAACATTACTTTGGAGCATAAGTCAAATGGTTTAAAGTAATCCTGTAACATACCTAAAGAACACCTTCCTATATTATGCATGCAAATTACTTCTCCACGTAAAGATCTTTTCACTTTAATTTCTACATTACCCAGCTCTGAAGTCACTACTCGGGCTTATGGTCCACAGACAAGGAGGGGGGCAAATGGCCAGGACTGGTCAAGATATATATGGATATATATATATATATATATATATGAATGGCACAGCAGAAGGAAACACAATTCTGGAAGTGCAAGCCTTCAAGAAGCAGCATATTATGATAAACCCCTCCTACAGAAAGGTATCATTTTTATCACTGATACCACAGGATAAATTATATATTACGCCATCTTCAAGTAACAGTTGAGGCAATAGAATAAATGCAAAGGCATTACAATGAATCCCACTTAATACAAAGAACTATACAGACCAACACTTCTCTACAAATTTTTTTTTTCCTCATTGCCAGTTAAATACAGTTTTACTTTCATAGCTTAACAATGAAGGGTCATACACTGAAGCCAACACATATACCTAGCATTTCAGTCTAAGCTTGTCCACGTACATAGCTGAAGTCAATTACAAGGTTTGGCCTAGAAATGCTAGGGGAACTTCTTCGTAGTTTTTACAGGTATTAAACTTCATCTTGGACACTGAAGTCATCATACATACAGGGCAAAGTCAGAGCTTTTATATTTGCGTTTATTCTTCATTTAACTTTTTAAAACACTACTATAGTTGAATATTAAAACAAAAACAAGAGCAAGTAGTGAGCATATTATGATTACAGTCCTTCACTTATTAACTAATGCACATTAAATGCCAGCAGTGAGTGTTATTCACTGGCCCATTAAGAGGTCTGACACTGAACACCACCTCTGGGATGATGTTCATCATCCTCATATGCTTCTCCATTGTAATGGCGCCGTCTTTCCTGATTTGGATCAAAGTCCACCAGTTCTACTTGATCCATCTCATCAGTCTCTTCCACTTCCTTCCTCTCTGGTAGGAGTTTTTCCAGCAAAGACAGTTTATCAGGAGAGAGAAAGCCATTCTCAGGAAAGTTTACCTTCGAAAGAAATTTTTACTGTTCAATCCGATTTCATCATTAGCTCCTTAGTATCATGGACCCATTTTCCCCAGAACAAGACATGTAAACACGTAATATTTAGGTGAATCTGCCAATCTCAGAACAGGCTCTTAAAAGGCACAGTGCATAGCATACTCTGAACTAGAGCTCAAGGATTATGACCAAAAGCCAGGCTTTATTAAAAACGATTGCATTAAATAAAACTGCACTTTAACAACCATTGTTCTACCCACCAAACTGACTTTTTAATACCAAAACCCATCCTACAACAGCCTAACTCTTCTTACGAGATATTCAAACAAAGCTATTCTTACTCTCAAAAGGGTAGTTCTTTCTTATCCAAAGATGTTTTTAGGCCAGGTGCAGTGGCTCATACAATTGGGATGACAAATCCCAACACTTTGGGAGGCTGAGGTGGGCAGATCACCTGAGGTCAGGAGTTTGAGACCAGCCTGGCCAATATGGTGAAACCCCAACTCTATTAAAAAGCCTAGCGTCGCAGCAGGCACCTGTAATCCCAGCTACTCAGGAGGCTGAGGCAGGAGACTTGCCTGAACCCAGGAGGTGGAGGTTACAGTGATCCAGGATCGCACCACTGCACTCCAACCTGGGTGACAGAGCAAGACTCTGTCTCAAAAAGGAAAAAAAAAGTTTTAATTAATATTTTTGTGGTGACAGGCCAATTTAAGACTGAAGAAAATGACTGGATTGCTTTATACCTATTAACAAATCAAGCATTACACTACTTTGCCAAGAAATCTGCAATTATTGTAAAGCGCCTCTGAACTTTAAGATGCCAGTTACAACCTTTCATTAGTAAAATACCCACTTGTCCCACGCACCCCTCCCACAACCTATCTTTAAATATCCAATTAATGATGCAAAAAAACCCATCCTCAACTTAACAAAGAATGCTCAACATGACAGGAGTAAGTAGTATTAGGTAATTTTTTTTTTTTTTGAGACAGGGTCTCATTCTGTCACCCAGGTTGAAGTACAGTGACATGATCTTGGTTCACTAAAGCCCTGACCACCTAGGCTTAAGCAATCCTCCCACTTCAGCCTCCCAAGTAGCTGGGACTATAGGTGCATGCCACCATGCCTGGCTAATTTTTGTATTTTTTGTAGAGATGGGGTTTTGCCATGTTGCCCAGGCTGGCCTTGAACTCCTGAGCTCAAGTGATCCACCTGTCTCGGCCTCCCAAAACATTGGGATTATAGGCGTGTGCCAGTGGCACATGGCCAGATCCATGTATTTCTTGCTGAGTAACAAAACATTTAAGTTTCAGGTTGCTTGGCATTCAGAAATTTTATTTTATTTTTTTTAAAAAAGAGACAGGGTTTCACTATGTTGCCCAGACTGTTCTCAAACTCCTGGACTCAAGGGATCCTCCTGCCTCAACCTCTCAAAATGCAGGGATTACAGGCATGAGCTACTGCACCTGGCTGAAATTTTACTTTTTTATCAGGTTTTAGTAAGCTAATTTTCTCAAATTTTTTTTTTTTTTTTTTTTTTTGAGACGGAGTCTCGCTCTGTCGCCCAGGCTGGAGTGCAGTGGCCGGATCTCAGCTCACTGCAAGCTCCGCCACCCGGGTTCACGCCATTCTCCTGCCTCAGCCTCCCGAGTAGCTGGGACTACAGGCGCCCGCCACCTCGCCCGGCTAGTTTTTTGTATTTTTTTTAGTAGAGACGGGGTTTCACCGTGTTAGCCAGGATGGTCTCGATCTCCCGACCTCGTGATCCGCCCGTCTCGGCCTCCCAAAGTGCTGGGATTACAGGCTTGAGCCACCGCGCCCGGCCTTCTCAAATATTTTTAAAGTACTTTACAGCTTACCTTAAATTCGATGATTAGGCGACCCTTTTCATATGGTCTACGATAAATTGGCATGCCTTCATTTAGTACACACTTGATATCTCCATGCTTGACAATCTGACCTGAAAACATTGAAGCCAAGTTCTTTAAGTATGGTCACATTTTTATGAGGCAGGGAATATAAAGAACAAGAGCACTGTCCTAGCTCGTTGGCAGGAATAAAACTTACGTGGCAAAACAATCCTGTTACCTTTCACTTACGGGTTTTCCAAGGGCTGCCAAGAAAGCCAAGACTTTATAACTTCATCTCAGCCCAGAAGAGGATATGTAACCAAGAAAGAAAAACAATGGGTTTCCCTCAGTGCCTATAACTACACTTTGTTATTGGGAGACAAGGAAAATACTAGAATAGAAAAGAGAAGCTTAAGCTTGCCTAGTTCCCATACCTGGATGAGAGGTGATGACTATGGTTCGGTTGTCAAGAGTGGATATCGGCTTCTGGAAGCCACACAATGCTTCAACCAGCTGTATGTCCATACACATGAAAAGGTCTTCTCCTCGTCTGCGTAAAATATGACACATTATTTATATTTTTCAAATCACCAATCAGTAGATGTACTAAAGCGGGCTGTTTTTTTGTTTAATAAAAGCAAAGGGTCTTTTACAAAGACACAGACACCCTTTTCTTCCCCCATCGTAAAAATCAAACAGAGCAGAGATCTGGGAAGAACAAACATGTGGAACCTGCCAGCCCTGTTTCCTAGATAAGGTTTCGAAGTCATTCCACACATTCTAGGCAGCCTTTACCATTTACCATCTGTGAATTGTTTCATTACCTAATTTTAAATCTGGTTTCTCAGAGGAAAAAAAAAAACACAAAAAACTCTTACAAGAGTTAGGGTTAGGCCGGGCGCTGTGGTTCGCACCTGTAATTCCAGCACTTTGGGAGGATGTGGAGGGTGGATCACCTAAGGTCTGGAGTTCAAGACCAGCCTGGCCAACATGGTGAAATCCCATCTCTACTAAAAATACAGAAAATCAGCCAGGCATGGTGGCGCACACCTGTAGTCCCAGCTACTCGGGAGGCTGAGGCAGGAGAATCACTTGAACCTGGAGGCAGAGGTTGCAGTGAGTTGAGATCATGCCACTGCACTCTAGCCCGGGCAGGGTCCTAGATAATTTAGGCTCTATGAAATTAAACAATGAGGATATGTCCAATTTAAAGGGACTGTAAGAATTTCCTCATTGACGTACCTGAAATAATAGTTCCTGGCATACTGTGAGTGAACACAGCCTTTCATATTTAACGTAACAGCCCACTTCCTCCTTCTCATGCTTAGCCTTTCCTCTTTTCCAACCCACATTAATAGAACACCTTTAGGCCAGGCGCAGTGGCTCAGACCTGCAATCCCAACACTTTGGGAGGCCGAGGCAGGTGGATTACCTAAGGTCAGGAGTTCGATGCCAGCCTGGTCAACATGGTGAAACCCGTCTCTACTAAAAATACAAAAATTAGCTGGGCATGGTGGCGGGCACCTGTAATCCCAGCTACTCGGGAGGCTAAGGTGAAAGAATCGCTTGAACCCGGGAGTTGGAGGCTGCCGTGAGCCAAGATCGCACCATTGCACTCCAGCCTGGGCTTGTTAAGTGAAACTCCGTCTCAAAAATAAATAAATAAATAAATAAAACATCTTTAATACTCTTCTCAAATGACAGCATCAAAATCCTGAGCTTGACAACATTTCCCATTGTCTTCAGACATTTGTAAAATATTAGTCTTTTTTTTGAGACCAAGTTTTGCTCTTTTTGCCCAGGCTGGAGTGTAATGGCACCATCTCAACTCACTGCGAACTCCGCACCTCCCCGGTTCAAGTGATTCTCCTGCCTCAGGAACTGCCACCATGCAGTTCCAAAAGATGGGCTCTTACTGTCACCCAGGCTAGAATGCAGTGGCATGATCATAACCTTGAACTCCTGAGTTCAAGCCACTCTCCTGCCTCGGCCTCCCCAGTAGCTAGGACTCCTGGCCTCAAATGATCCTCCCACCTCAGCCTCCCAAGTTGCTGGGAATATAGCATGCACAGAGAGTCTGTTATGTTAGCCATGGACATATTTGATATAAACATGTGCTGTTAATCATCAATTTTTCTTGTGCTTCAGTGTTCATCATACTCATTATTTAGTTCAAAACGGTAGACCTGAATTTATACTTAGTATTGTTCCAATTTAAGTTTCCTACACAGATGCTTTTGGGTATTTACAATTAAAAGCAATTCAACTTTATCATAAACTTGGGATTGAAAACTGCTGCGAGTTTTTTTTTTTTTCTTGAGACGGAGTCTCGCTCTGTCGCCCAGGCTGGAGTGCTGTGGCCGGATCTCAGCTCACTGCAAGCTCCGCCTCCCGGGTTCCCGCCATTCTCCTGCCTCAGCCTCCCGAGTAGCTGGGACTACAGGCGCCACCTCGCCCGGCTAGTTTTTTGTATTTTTTTAGTAGAGACGGGGTTTCACCGTGTTAGCCAGGATGGTCTCTATCTCCTGACCTCGTGATCCGCCCGTCTCGGCCTCCCAAAGTGCTGGGATTACAGGCTTGAGCCACCGCGCCCGGCCTAACTGCTGTGAGTTTTAAGGCACTTAAATTGTTTTACAAAGATGGAGGGCAAAATTTTTGTCCAGGGATGTTTTCCCCAGCCATCTGCTATTTAGGTTCACACAAAACATCTAATTGAAACACATTTTCAACGTTCCATACTTCGAGACAAAAAGCTAAAAATCTGATCCTATGTATTCAACTTCTTACGATCCAAACAATGGTTAACAATCTTTTTCCAGGAAATAGGTTTCAAAAGTAATGGAAAACACTTTAAAAAAAACAAACAAAAAAACAAACCAAAACCAACAACCCAAATATGTAAGACATCAGTTTGAGTGGCTGATAAAAGTCTTTACCGAGTAAAAACAGCATGGTCCTTCTGATCTAACACAATGATAATATCGCCTGGCTCCAGTCCTGGTTCTTGGTCTCCTTCACCATGGAATGTTATCTTCTGGCCATCTTTCATGCCTAAAAACATTAGTTTTATACTCTTATTAATTATCCAACTAAGGTCAGAATCATACAATGTATACATAAATGTTTGTTTATGTGTAAAAATCACAGAAATGACTAAGAAAGCCCACTTAAGTAGTTCAGTCCAATTTGCTCCTGAAAAAAGATATCACAGTGGAGAACACAAACTCTAGAGGCAAAGAGACCAGCCTTCAAATCTCAGAGCTGCTATTCACTGGCTGGATTACCCTGGGGAAGCTGCATATCCTTTCCAAGTTTCAACTTTCCCACAGACACCTACACCTCATTAGCAATGTTGAGAGTATTAACTAAACAGGTATATGCTGGTACTAAACCATGACTGGCAAACACTGGTTATAACCAAAAAATATTAACTATTTCAATTTCATTACTTATAACACATCAAATTACTTCTATTAAGTCTAACAGCAATGTAAATCAAAACCCTTCTCTCTATTGTAGTATTTATATATAAAACAAAAAATTTTACATCTATCTTTTCTTGAGATAGGATCTTGCTCTGTTCTGTTGTCTAGGCTGGAGTGCAGTGGCACAAACATGGCTCACTGCAGCCTCCATCTCCTGGGCTCAAGTGATCCTCCCACCTCAGCCTCCCGAGTAGCTGGGGACCAGCTTTAAAAAAATTTTTTTTTTAAATAGAGACAGGGGTTCTCATGTCGCTCAGGCTAGTCTTGAACTACTGGGCTCAAGGGATCCTCCTGTCTCAGCCTCCTATAGTGTTACGATTACAGACCTGAGCCCGTGCCTGAAAATCCGTATTTTTTAAGAACTATTCAGTATAGTCCCCTTAAAAAAACGGTAACTACCTTTTGGGAGGCAGAGTCAGGAGGATACCCTGAGGACAGCACCCTGGAGCACAGGAGTTCGAGCCCTTGCGTCATTTAAATTAAAACAAGCAAACAAAACAATCAGCGCTAGACCCTCCCTTAGCCCATGTGGTCCATAAAACACAGGGAGAGGAGTATTTTCTAACAGGGCAAAAAATTCTTAAACATGTTTTTTTGTTTTGTTTTTTTTTTTTACTGAGACTTCCCTACCCCTCACCTCTGACCCACATATTTTAGTTCAGTAAGGGTTTGGACAACAACTCTTACAACGTAACTCATGTAAGAAAACCTGTGTCTGTAGAGTGTTACACTGAAGCAGTTATCTCCTGATTATTTCCCAAGATCACTCTGGTTACCTAACAGAGCAATCGTGTTTCCCCTTTTAGTATGGAAAATATTAATCCTGTATAAAAAGAGCCAACAATACAATGAATTCCTACATATCCATCCAATTTAGCTTCAGCAGTTTCTAACTCATGACTAATATTTCATGTATTATACCCCTACCCATGGCCCCCACATATACTTTCAAGTAAACTCCAACCACATCCATTAACCCACAAATACTTCAGTATGTACCTCTTAAATAAGGACTTAAAAGCACTATCATTATCATACACTGACAAAATTAAACAATCTGTCTTTAATCATGTATTGAGGCAAAATAACTTGTTATGCTAGGGAAGCAAACTCAGCTAGGTTTTCCTGAATGAAGAGCAAGGGTAGGCATAGCACAAATGCCTTCACTTGCTGAGGGCATTAATTTCAAGTTCTCACTTAGAGTTCACTGTTGATAGGTTCTTTCCCCCTCGGCTGTGTTACAGTGACATGACATTATTTGAGGACCTGCATGACATTATTCGAGGTCATTCTGCTAGAAGTCTCAGTTTCCAAGAACCTATCAACAACGTTAAGACTTACTCTATAAGCTACTGGTATCAAGAACACCTCAAAGTATAAACCCCAGGCATGGGCCCACTAAGCGGGAAACACATTAAGTTCAACAACTGGCCAAGAAAACTTATTTTTACCTTTCAATGTACTACATTCTTGGGTGGAAAACCCTGGGGGTCAGAGAGGCCAGTATAATGAGTCACATGATAGAATCCTATTGCAGCCACTTATGTTAATGTAGATTTGTATATTAACAGTTCCAGATTGGTATCATACCATAGTACAGTATAATAGTAGACCCATTTAAAAACAGCAAAATCTGAAAAGAGATTACCATAATGTTGATTTAAGTTTCCTTCTGGGGTTACATACATTTCTTAAAATTTCTGCAATGTACTGCCGTAATACATTTTAAAAGGTTTTTGTAAGTTGACAAGAGTAAAATTTAAAAACTGACAAATCAAATCCCTCCCCCCCCGCCAAAAAACGGTTATGTATTTATTTCTAAATCTGGAGCCCAATAGGTAGAGAAGTGTCAAGTCTAAAAAAAAGGAAAAGTAGTCTAAATTCTTTCAAATCAATTAACGGAGCATTTAAATACAACAGATGGGCAAGTAAGCCAATTAAGTGGGCCAATACGTTTATTTAAACAAGTCCAGGTCAGGTATGGTGGCACACACCTGTAGTCCCAGCTACCTGGGAGGTTGAGGTAGGAGAATCGCTTGAACCTGGGAGGGGAGGTTAGAGTGAGCCAAGATGGCATCACTGCACTCAAGCCTGGGCAACAGAGCAAGACTCTATCTCAGGAAAAAAAACAAAGAACAGAAAACATGTCCATTAGTTTAAAAAATAAACATGACGCCGGGTGTGGTAGCTCATGCCTGTAATTCTAGCACTTTGGAAAGCCGAGGCAGGTGATCACCTGAGGTCAGGTGTCCGAGATCAGCCTGGCCAACATGGTGAAACCCTGTCTCTACTAAAAATACAAAACATTAGCCAGGAGTGGTGCTGGGTGCCTGTAATCCCAGCTACTTGGTAGACTGAGGCAGAAGAATTGCTTGAACCTGGGAGGCAGATGTTGCAATGAGCTGAGATCGTGCCATTGCACATTCCAGCCTGGGAAATGAGCGCAAAACTCTGTCTCAGAAAAAAACAAAAAAAACCATGAATTTTAATGAGACCCAATTCTTCACCTAACTCCCTTCTCAAATCCTTAAAAATATGCCTATCCCTTGATCTAATAACTCTTAATTAGGAATGTGTTCAAATAACTTCATTCTAATTTTTTAAAAGATGGAAGAACTATGGTTTAACAGCAGAGAATTAAGTTTGGAACACTATTCAATCATTTACAGGACCACTGATTTCAAAAAATGATCCTGTTTATATTAGATGAGGAGATTCCTTATTTTCTATTAGTAATATACCAATATGCAAAATTATGTCTGGATGGAAAAACATTATATATTATGCTGCTAAGATCTATTTCTGAGTGATAGGATCATATATAACCTAACTAAGAATGGTTTTTTTTTTGAGATGGAGTCTCGCTCTGTTGCCCAGGCTGGAGTGCAGGGGCCGGATCTCAGCTCACTGCAAGCTCCGCCTCCCGGGTTTATGCCATTCTCCTGCCTCAGCCTCCCCAGTAGCTGGGACTACAGGCGCCCGCCACCTCGCCCGGCTAGTTTTTTCTATTTTTTTTTGTAGAGACGGGGTTTCACCGTGTTAGCCAGGATGGTCTCGATCTCCTGACCTCGTGATCCGCCCGTCTCAGCCTCCCAAAGTGCTGGGATTACAGGCTTGAGCCACCGTGCCCGGCCAAGAATGCTTTTTAAACTATAAAATGTTAATAATAAATCTGCCACAGCATTCAAGACTTCAGAATAAGTAGCTCAGAACTCACCTTTGTCAATATGAACCTCTAGAATCTTCTTCTCTCGAACTATCTTCCTTCCGTTGCAGCTTTTACATCTATCTTTAGGACTGATCCGCTCCCCATGGCCCTGGCACTCCATGCACACAGACTGAATTTGCTGAACCATTCCAGGTCCTATCTGATGAATTCTTATTTGCATTCCAGTACCTCGGCAATTGGGACAGCACTCTACTGCTCCTTTCTTACCTCCTCTACCTAAATGTAAAAAGAAAATTGAATAACGTATGAATTAGTGTATACAGTAGTAAATGTTTTAAGAAGACAATTCCTAAATGCTGTACTTTTAATATTTTCAAAGTCTGATGGAATGCTACCCTCTGAATATGTAACTGATGAAATCATTTTAATTAGTTTTATTCTCATTAGAACATACTTCATTTCCAGTAAATAATTTTACTTATTACAAAAAAGATACCAAGCTAGCTTGATCCCTATATTTAAAATATACACAGAAAATAGTGCTGTTATTTCTTTAGGTGGCAGGTTTTCAGTCGGTTTTCTTTATATCAGCCCTCCCCTCCCCCAAAATCTACGTAGTGTACGTGAGTCAATTTTACGTATCCAGGAAGTCTTAGCTCCATTTTCAGGTGTCATATTAAAGACGTTTAAAAAAACAAAAAACAAAACAAAAAAAACCCGTACCTTCACATTTGTCACAAATCACATTCTTTTGCAGAGCCAGTTTTCTTGTTGCACCGTTATATAAGTCTTCTAGGGTTACTGAGAGCTGATGTACAACATTTTTGCCTAAAACAAAGTATTTCTCATTACAAATCTGTTTGATGTTGAATCTTACTTATTCGTGCTAAAGGCACTATAAAGAATGTGAAAGGATAATAAAAAATGAGCCTCACAGGGTACATCTGTTGACTACCTACTATATACACAGAATATCCTCAAACTGTGATGTAATCACAGATGAGAGAAAATCAGGTCAGAAATTAAATATTTGCCTAAGGGCATAGACATGACCATCTTGGAAATATGGTAAGCAGAAACATTAACCTCAAAGTCACTTGAGAAAAACCAACGTTATTTAAAAGGGCACATTTCACAATAATCCAAACATTCATTTCTGTCACAATATATTCTTTGAAGCTTTCACTTCGTACCGTATTGAGCAACGTGACCAATTACTTCATCCAAAAATTCTGTAGCACAGTAAATTCTCATTAACCAAGATTGGCCAGGGAAGTTGATGCATTTATTGAGTTACCACAGAAGAGTATCAATTTCTACTTCTTCCTGATTTAGTAGAAAACAGCCCATTTACTGCTGGGCCAGCACCGGTTGTTTTAAAGGCCAAATTTCTCATACCTTTTATACTAGCATTGCCCAACAGAACTTTCTGCAGTGATAAACGTTTCATATCTGTTCTATCCAACACAGCAGCCACGAATCACATGTGCTTTCTTTAGACTAAGAAACTGTAGTTTTGTTTTTTTCTTAAATTAATGGAGCCACACATGGCCAGTGGCTCCTAAGGAGTGCCTTACTTCACTTAAATCAGAATGGGAAATGGAAGGTCAAGATCTCATAAGGACACGGAGGTTAGAAATATGAAGTCACCTGCTAATAAGTTAGTAAGTTCCTAGCTAGTGATCCTTCCACAAGAACTTATTCACAATATTACTGCATTTCCACCAACTGAAACAAGTTCTCAAACTCGTTTCTGTTCATGCCTAATGAACATTTTTACTTTCTAATCAAGCATGAAATACCATTAATTATGTCCTTCTGCTTATAGCTCCACCTTTAGTTTTGGCACGCTAAAATCTAGCTGCCCTTATTTTGTACAGTGTTGAGAATATAAAGAAGGAAAAATAAAGCTTCTAGAGCTTGGGGAAGCACATTTCCCCAAAAATAACCTCTCAATATGATCTAAAGCCACATAAAATAGCTTGCCAATGTTAACCTGCAGGTCAGTTCTTTGTAAGGTAAATGAAAAACCACCACTACTTTTTTGTGGACAAATTCTACCAATTTACTAAGCAAGTGATTTGGATTATGCACTTTCTTTTTAAGGAGTTTAAATATCTTAGAAGCTCAAAGTGAAACTTAATGGCTTGGCCATTCATTCTAAAACTGGTTCTGCTCATAGCCCTTGTTTGTATTCACTATACTGGTAATAAAGTGAGACTAATTTCTCTTGACTTAAACACTTTATTCCTATGAGCAGTATTTCTAGAGCCCATAGGCCACTTTCCTGATAAATATATTAAATACATAATTTTGACACAATAAAGCTGAAGCAACATTAGATAGGTGGCAGGCAACGAACCAGTTTTCAGCCCTGGCTCTGTTGGTTTGCTATATGAGCTTGAAGACGTTTTATGTTTCTGAACTTTAACTTACTCTCATTTGAAAAAGGCCACTGTATCTACCACCATCGAATTCCTTTGGGGAGTAAGGGAACACCAAATAAGTTCTGTAAAAAGGACTTGGAAAATTATATTGCTATATACTTTCTCCTTTTTTGTTTTTTTGAGACGGAGTTTCGCTGTGTCGCCCAGGCTGGAGTGCAATGGTGCGATATCAGCTCACTGCAACCTCCACCTCCTGGGTTCAAGTGATTCTCCTGCCTGTCTCCCGAGTAACTGGGATTACAGGCACGCACCATCACGCTTGGCTAATTTTTGTATTTTTTTTTTTTTTTTGAGACAGAGATTCACTCTTGTTGCCCAGGCTGGAGTGCAGTGGCGCGATCTCGGTTCACTGCAACCTCTGCCTTCAGGGTTCCTGCCTCAGCCTCCAGAGGAGTTGGGATTGCAGGCGCCCACCACCACACCCAGCTAATTTTGTATTTTTTGTAGAGATGGGGTTTCACCATCTTGGCCAGGCTGGTCTCAAACCCTGACCTCACGTGATCCACCCACCTCGGCCTCCCAAAGTGCTGGGATTACAGGCGTGAGCCACAGCACCGGTTCTGTTCTCATAATTTGTTTGATAATATCTAAGATTTTTGGAAGCAGTCATTTGCTACCACTCTATTGGCTAGTTTTTTAGGTCCTTTAAATGTCATTTAAAAAAAAACGACACCATTGGCCGGGGGTGGTGGCTCACACCTGTAATCCCAGCACTCTGGGAGGCCAAGGCAGGCGGATCACCTGAGGTTGGCAGTTCAAGACCAGCGTGACCAACATGGTGAAACCCCATCTCTACAAAAATACAAAATTAGCCGGGTGTGGTGGCGCATGCCTGTAATCCCAGCTACTTGGGAGGCTGAGGCAGGAGAATCGCTTGAACCCGGGAAATGGTGGTTGCCCTGAGCTGAGATCACGCCGTTGCTCTCCAGCCTGGGCAATAAGAGGGAAACTCCGTCTCAAAAACAAAAAACAAAACAACAACAACAACAAAAAACACGACACCATAAATCAGAGGCAGTTTGTGGTCAGTTTGCAACATTATACCAACATGTAAACAAACATTTAAAATGGGTGATTTCTCAAAGATCTGCTCTGACCAACAGCTAACTTTAGTTAGCTGCACAAAGACTAGATTCTTACCTCTCCTTTCTCTCTGCATCCTTCCTCCTCCTCCAAAAAACATATCAAAGATGTCCATGGGGGAGCCAAAACCGCCACCTGCTCCACCCTCTTTAATTGCCTGTTCTCCTCCTTTGTCATACAATTCCCTTTTCTTTGCATCAGAGAGAACTTCGTAAGCTTGAGAAATCTGTTTAAACTGTTTGAGAAAAGAAAAATGAATTTTTTTTTTTAAAAAACAAGTGTTACCTAGCTACATTACACTTGATCTTAGCTAAAAAGACCGAGAAGTGATCATAATTCCTGTATTAGATACTCGATTTCAGATCATAACAGAAATACTATACATCTGGCAATGAACTATTCATATTCAGATATGTCTAAGAGTATATACTACTCACCTTCTCTCCTTCATTTGGATTCTTATCAGGATGGTACTTCAAGGCCAGTTTCCTATAAGCCTTTTTCAATTCTTCCTGAGTAGCATTGGGTTTGACCCCCAAAACATCGTAGTAAGTTGTTTCTTTCACCATCTTCTACTGCCTGAAATAAGAAAATGCAACTTTAACCTGCTTTCAACTGGTAGTTTTTAATTAATAAAAATGAGAGCTAAGGCCGAACAATCTCTTTGCCAAATCCTATTATAAGAACACCACTTTCCCTAAATTTCACCAAAAAGGTAACAATTCCTGAGATAATTCAGCTATAAACTCCAACAGACAAACTAATAATCATTACCGGGAAGTAATTCGAGAGCCGCCTTCTAGCACCTGGTTCCCATTCTCCCACACCAAAGCTTCCATACTAATGTAACAGAACTATTATATGGATTCTTCCCGTTTCCTCTAGAGGCGGTGATAGTTGTAACAAAAGCAGCCCTGATATGGTCAGTCTACTGGTCATTACACTATCACTGTCTTTGGTAAATCTGATAAACTCCATACACTCTCCAGAAAAAGACATCTGCGCACACAGTGGTGGGGGGAGAGGTTTATAAAACAGATTACCGGCTCCACACAGCAAACCCTCCACCGCCCACGGCTTACAGATTCTCCACTTTCACGGCCGAATCCCTCTCGCCCCTCAGGCTGGCAGAGTTTACCTGCCAGGTTTCCCCTTGCACTTGGCGCCGACCGTTAAGATTTCCTTCCTTTCTCCCTCCCACCCTGGACCCAAGTGGCGGAGGGGAAAGCCCAGCCCTCAACAAAGAAGATGAGGGGACACAGAGAAAGAGAAAACGAAAGCCGCAGCCTCCGCCCGGCTCCCCCCGCAGCCCCTCGCCCCTAGTTCTCTGTGCGCGTGCGCAGGGTCGCCAACCACCCCGCCCCCCAACAGTGAGACGGATGGGGAGGGGGGCCGCGGGGGCGCGCACGGACGGAGAGGCGAAGGCAGCAGCTCTTTGGAGATCCCAGGCTGGGTACGGAGGGAGGTCTAGGAAAGGTCTCGGGCCCATTCACTGTGCGTGGCGGGGATGGGTTGTCAGGGCACCGCACCAGCCCTCCAAAAGGGAAATCGTGGGCCCAGGAACTGACAACGCTCCTGCCCACGCGGCCAACGGCCTCCGGACCGCGGCTCCATCGGTTTCCCGGCGCCAATGGCGCCAGCCAGGGGACTGGGGAAAGCTCGAGGGCTCAAACTCACCGGTGCGGGCTGACGCCGGTGTGTGAGGGAGCGGAAAGGAGCGCGGAGCTGTGCGCAGCTCGGGCAGTTACCGCTCCTCCGCCTCTCACCGAGCGTTCTGGAAAGTTCCGCCCGGCGCGCCGCAGCCGTCGTCTTTTGTAGCCGAACCCTGGCGCGTCACCCGCCGGAAGTCCCGCCCCTCTCGGCCGCTGCCACCGCCCAGCGGTTACCTGGGCAACGGCGCGGGGGCGCACGGGTCGGGAGGAGCTGCGCCGAAAGGCCTTGTGGGGGTTGGTGCTAACCCGGCTTCCCGACGCTCGTGGAATCTTCTGGAGCCGTTTTCTCCACTCAGCAAGCCCGAGATGCGGAAGTCTCCGGCTGGTGGGGCATGGCTCAGGAGCAGTGCAAGTCCTAGGGTTCCCAAACCTGTGGGGGGCCGCCTCCGCCCGCGAGGGCGGGAAGGGCTCGGGTACAGTGATCCAGCGGGAGCTGTGTGTGAACGGGGAAAGCTCTTGGAACAGTCTTGCCCCCCGCTCACCCTCCTATGGGCACCTCTTTCTGGGAACCCGCTGAGCAAGAAATGCTTGAGCCAGGTGGGTCTAGTCCCCAGACCAATAGCATACGCCTTGGGTCTTGCTGCTTTTCACACGCGGTCCAAGGCGGCTTAATTCATCAAATTGTGAAGTTGTTAGAGCTCTTTGTGCAAGTCCAGGCCCCTAGACACAAGTTATGTGTCCTGGACCTCGCTGACTCCTGCAGATTGAGCGCAGAGTGTCTGGGACTGAGCTAATCAGTGAAACGTTTGAACCGTCTTTGATGCACGGAGGGCCGTGGACCTCTCTGGTCAGGTTTTCACCCAGTTTGGCTACAGAGTAGCAGCAAGAGTGTCTAAAACAATTTGTTTAATTATTTGACCTAACTTTTAAATTCTACGGGTCAGTGAACCTGGATGTACAATCTGCAATGTGAGACCTTGGACTTTAAAATGGTACCACGGGGGCTTAATGGGAATTGGGGTCCGCTTCTTTATCCAGGGGCACAACAGAGAAGTCAGTATCTAGCACCAAGAAAGATGGAGTTTGCCAGGCTCAGTGACTCACGTGTGTAATCCCAGCACTTTGGGACGCAAGCGTGGACTGATTGAGCTCGAAGTTTGGTACCAGCCCCAGCAACGTGGTGAAACCCGGTCTCGATTTAAAACAAAAACAGAACTGGAGATGCAGAGTTGAAAAACCCCAGTTAGACTTCAGTGAGAAGCCAACAAGTCAACAGACTGCCAGGGAAACCATGAGGTAGAAGTCAGTACGGAGAGTCTCCTATTAGACGTGATAGATCAGAGAGTTTCCTTGGGAAAAGTGGCAATTGAGCTGAGTTTTGAAAATGGGAGAAGAGCAATGGACAAAGCACAGGGGAAGGCTATACTAAGGTTTGGAAGAATATAGTGTTTTTAGGAAATTGGAACTAATTGGATATATCCAGAGCTAAGGGAGCTAGAATAGCCGGAAGTGAGGCTTCAGAGCTAGTTAGGGCATGCCTTTGTCTGTTGGTATATATGTTACGTTGAGAATTTTGAACTTTATCCTTGGAAGCATGCTGATGCTGCCTCTTCAGCCTTTCCTCTTTCATTAATTTTAACTGCTTTCCAGTGACAGAACTATCTGTAGTTTCCCATATACACCTTTTCACCTTTGTGTGCTTTTGCTTTGGCTGACAGACACCTGATTTTTTTCAATCTTAGGTGTTGCCTTCTCAAGTATCACTTCTGGTATAACATTTTTAGTTTAAACCAACCCTTAGTAAACGTCTGATATTACCAGGCAGTGTACTAGGGCTTTGTAATACAAAAATCACGTAAGTCAGGCCCGGCACCGCGGCTCACGCCTGTAATTCCAGCACTTTGGGAGGCCGAGGTGGGCGGATCACCTGGAATCAGGAGTTCTAGGCCCAGCCCGGGCAACATGGTGAAACCCCTCTCTACTAAAAATAGAAAAAATTAACCAGATATGGTGGCATGTGCCTGTAGTCCCACCTACTCAGGAGGCTGTGGCAGGAGAATCGCTTGAACCTGGGAGGCAGAGGTTACAGTGAGCAGAGATGGCGCCACCACACTCCCGCCTTGGTGACAGAGCGAGACTGTTGAGTCTCAGGAAAAAAAAAAAAAATCACGTAAGTCATGGTCCCTGCCTTCAAGCAGCGCACAACATACGGAACCAGAAACAAAACAGTTGAGTGTTAAATGCTAATAGAGGAAGAGTAGAGGGGTGCTTGGAGGAAGAGTAGAGGGGTGCATGGTGGCTCAAGCCTGTAATCTCAGCACTGGGAGGCCTAGGCAGGCGGATCCCTTGAGTTCTGGAGTTTGAGACCAGCCTGGGCAACATAGTAAGACCTCGTTTCTACAAAAATTAGAGTTAGTGTGGTGGTGTGGGACTGTACTCCCAGCTACTTGGGAGGCTGAGGCAGGAAGATGGACCTGGGAGGTCAAGGCTGCAGTGAGTGGTGATTGCACCGCTGCACCTCAGCCTGGGCGACAGGGCAATACCCTGTCTAAAAACGAAACTAACAAAAAAGTTAACAGTTTTAAGAAGCATTCTTATGTAAAATAAAAAAAACTAGCAATAACTTTGTGTATGGTCTTCGTTTGTATAGAAATGGGATCACACAAGCTTTTTACAACTTGCCCTTTTCACTTTGTCATCTTACTATGTTAGGATTATTAATCTACCTCGTTATTTTTAATGGCATAGTATGCAGGCATCATAATTCCCCTGCTGATGAACATTTCAGCAATTTCCAGTGTTTTACAAACTGCTGCAGAGAAATTAGCAAATAACAGCTTTGAGTACTCATGCAAGTATTTCTGTTGGATGGACAGCTAGAATTGAAATTGCTGAGTCAACATGAATGCAGATTTAAAATTGTAATAAATAAGTTTCCCTATTGGTTTGTAACTGCTTCCAGCAATGTGTGAGTAGGCCTTGCCAGTATGAGGGATTCTACCTTTTGTTGTGAAAATCTTTGCTAAACTTGGAGATAAAAAGTGATATTTTATTGTTTCGAGTTTCTTTATTAGTAAGTTTAACCATGTTTTAAATGTTTACTGACTCTCCTGTCAACTGTTCATATTATTTTACCATTTTTCTGTGGTGTAATACCACTATTTTAATAGTAGCACTTTTAGGGATAGATATTAGTCTGTCATGTGTTACAATTATTTTCTTTAGTATATTGTTAGCTTTTTACTTAGTATCTATATATATATATTTTTGGGCCATATAAAGATTTTAATTTTTATGTAGGTAAGTTGTGACTCTTCCTTTTTGGCCTTTTTCTTCTCTCCACCTTCCCCTTCACCAGTCTAGCATTATAGATATAAATCTATTGTCCCAGGTTTACAGGTTACGTCTAGTACTTTCATTGTTTCCTTTTTTGTTTGTTTTTAATTAACAGCCTTGATGTGTTGCCCAGGCTGGACTCGAACTCCTAGGCTCAAGTGATTCTCCTGCCTCAGCCTCTTCAGTACTTGGGACTACAGACACCTGCCATTGCATCTGGAATCATTGTTCTATTTTAAACTTACATTTTTTATTCCATCTAGAAGTTATTTTGCTGTAAGGACTGAGGATTATTTGTAAGTAACTGATCTTTATTTTTCTCCAGATGGCAAGCTAGTTTGTCTAATACTAATCTTATTTTTCCTGGCTAATATGAAATGTGCCCCCCAACTTTTGTGTGTGTGTGTGTAGAGACAGAGTCTTCCTATGTTGCCCAGGCTGTTCTTGAACTCCTGGGCTCAAGCAGTTCTCCTGCCTTGGCCTCCCAAAGTGCTGGTATTACAGGCGTGAGCCACCACAGCTGGCCACCACTTTTAATGTATACTAAATTTCCACTGAAATACACGGTACTACTTCCCTTCATTGTTCTTGCTTTTTAGAATATTCCTTGCATTTTTTGAGTATGTTTATTCTTCCAGAGGAACTTGGGAATATTTCTGGCCGATTCCCCCCAAATCCCATTGTGAGTTTTATTGTGATTACAGTGATTTTATGTATCAGTTTGAAGAGAATTAACATGTTTAAAATGTTGAATCTTCCTGCTTATGAACATATAACTGTATATTTACTTTCTTCATTTTTTTAACTAGGTCCTCCTCATTTCTTCTTTTTTTTTTTTTTTTTTTTTTTTTTGAGACGGAGTCTCGCTCTGCCGCCCAGGCTGGAGTGCAGTGGCCTGATCTCAGCTCACTGCAAGCTCCGCCTCCCGGGTTCACGCCATTCTCCTGCCTCAGCCTCCCGAGTAGTTGGGACTACAGGCGCCCGCCACCTCGCCCGGCTAGTTTTTTGTATTTTTTAGTAGAGACGGGGTTTCACCGTGTTAGCCAGGATGGTCTCGATCTCCTGACCTCGTGATCCGCCCGTCTCGGCCTCCCAAAGTGCTGGGATTACAGGCTTGAGCCACCGCGCCCGGCCCATTTCTTCTTAAATGTGTTACTAGGCATTTTTTATTGTTGCTGTCACGGATGGCTTCTTTTCTTACCATTATATTTTTTTTCAGTGAGATACTTCATACTTTCTTTTTTTTTTTTTGGAGATGGAGTTTCTCTCTTTTTGCCCAGGCTGGAGTGCAATGGAGCCATCTTGGCTCACTGCAACCTCCGCCTCTCGGATTCAAGTGATTCTCCTGCCTCAGCCTCCTGAGTAGCTGGGATTACAGGCATGCACCACCACGCCTGACTAATTTTGTATTTTTTAGTAGAAACAGAGTTTCTCCATGTTGGCCAGGCTAGTCTTGAACTCCCAACCTCAGGTGATCCGCCTGCCTCGGCCTCCCAAAGTGCTGGAATTACAGGCATGAGCCACCATGCCTGGCCAATAACTTTCAATAACCACATGGCCGTAAGTGTTCATAGAGGTAGCTGGAGATGGCTGGAGGCCTGGCAGGAGCCAAATAATAAGGGCTTGGGCATTATGCTAAAAAGTTTGAATTTTATTTTGAAGGCTCTTGAGAGACACTGGGGAATTTTAGGGATGGGGTGATATAACCTGTAACAGCTGACTTTTTGTTTCTTTTCTCTTTCCTCATCTTTTCTCTCTTTTGTGAGGACCTGTCAGGTGCTGCGCTAAACACTACAAATGTTGCCATATTGTAATCCTTACAGTAACCCTTGTTTTACAGCCTATTTGATTACATTTCACAATAATCACTTGGGTGCTAATATGAAGGTTGGATTCTTAGCAGGTTTTTATGGTGAGCAATCAGATCAGAAGTGATGAGGCCTAAATAGAAGAAATGGGGAGGGAGAAAAATAAATACAAATATAAAAACATATAAAGTCTTTGGGTGGAGTCGTGGTGACGATGCATAGGTGGGGAGGAGGAGGAATGACTTCCAGCTTTCTGGCTTGAGCAACAGGATGGTTGGAGATGCCCTTCCTGGGATAGGGAGCCTGGAAGGAGGAAGAGGAGGAAGAGGCCAGGGTAGGAGCAAAATTGGATGAAGGAAAAGGTGAGTCCAGGTTTGAGTGAGTAGAACTACAGCTATACTTTTTTCTTTAATTTAAAAAGAAAAGGAGTCGGAGCGGCGGCGGCGGGTCATGCGGGACGCGGATGCAGACGCAGGCGGAAGCACCAACTGCGGGGATAGCCAGGGTGACCACAGCTGCCCCGGTGGCGCGGACACAGCGGCAGCTCCAGCCGGCGGAGCTCCCCCACCTCACGCCTCAGGTCCTGGCAGAGACGCCAAGTCTGTGGCCAGGGGGCCAGGAATGCGGCCACACGTATTCACCCTCAGCATGCCTTTTCCGACCCCCTTAGAGGCGGAAATTGCCCGTGGGTCCCTGGCTCCAGATGCTGAGCCCCACCAAAGGGTGGTTGGGAAGAATCTCGCAGTGAGCGGCAGGATCTTGGCCGTCCGCTGGGAAGCTGAAGACTGTCGCCTGCTCCGAATTTCCGTTATCAACTTTCTCGACCATCTTTCTCTGGTGGTGCAGACCATGCAGCACTTTGGGCCCCCCGTTTCCCGCTAAGCCTGGTCTGGCAAAATGGGGCGAGGTCTAACCTTGCGTCTCCTCCTAGGCAGTGCATCCATTCTTCCCTAGGGCAGGGAATTCCCATAGTTGCTACTTTCCTGGAAGGGCCTCATGGTCGGCCTGTACTGGCCTTAGGATACTCAGGGGCCCCTTGTTTTATCTGGTTCTTAAATGTTTGTTACCACAGAAAATAAAACTGAGCTACTATTACAAAAAAAAAAATTTTTATCAGCACAAAGTGGAAAGTAAATCCTAACTAAAATGCTGTTTTTTATGTTTGTATAAATTTAAATTTCTTGGAATATTTAGTTTTTAATTAGGGCCAGATTTTTATTTATTTATTTATTTTTTGAGTAGCACCAATTTGTTCTAGTTCTTCTCTTACCTCTCTGACTATATACAATTTCAGTCTTTATGAACTCTCCTTCATTCCTACCCCCACTCGCCACCCCTCATTTTTTTTAAACTAAACTTTTTATTTAAGAGTAGTTTTAGATTTGCAGAAAAGTTGTCAGGGTAGTGCAGAGTTCCCATTATCCAGCATTCCGTCTTCCCTATTGTGAAAATTTACATTAAAATGGTACAGTTCCCACAACTAATTAATCAACGTTAATACATTATTATTAACTAAAGTTCGTTCTTTATTTGGGTTTCCTTAGTTTTTCCCTTTTCTGTTCCAGGATCCCACCCAGGACACCACATTACTTTGAGTTGTCATGTCTCTTTAGTCTCTTCTTGACTGTGACAGTTTCTCAGACTTCACTTATTTTTAAGGACCTTGACAGTTTTGAGGAGTACATACTTTTTTTTTTTTTTTTTTTTTTTTTTGCGACAGAGTCTTGCACTGTCGCCCAGGCTGGAGTGCAGTGGTGCAATCTCGGCTCACTGCAACCTCTACCTCCCAGGTTCCAGCGATTCTCCTGCCTCAGCCTCCCCAGTAGCTGGGATTACAGGTGTCTGCCACCACGCCTGGCTAATTTTTTGTATTTTTAGTAGAGATAGGGTTTCACTATGTTGGCCAGGCTGGTCTCGAGCTCCTGACCTCGTGATCCACCCACCTCGGCCTGCCAGAGTGCTGGGATTATAGGCGTGAGCCACAGTGCCCGGGCAAGTATGTGTCTTTTTTTCTTTTCTTTTTTTTTTTTTTTTGAGACGAAGTCTTGCTCTTGTCCCCCAGGCTGGAGTGCAATGGCGCAATCTCGGCTCACTGCAACCTCTGCCTCCTGGGTTCAAGCGATTTTCCTGCCTCAGCCTCCCACGTAGCTGGGATTACAGGCGCCTGCCACCACATCTGGCCAATTTTTGTATTTTTAGTAGAGATGGGGTTTCACCATGTTGGTCAGGCTGGTCTCGAACTCCTGACCTCAGGTGATCCGCCCGCCTCAGCCTTCCATCTTAGTAGAGATGGTGAAACCTAATCTTTACCAAAAATACAAAAATTAGCCAAAATGAAGTGGCACATGCCTGTAATCCCAGCTACTCAGGAGACTGAGGCAGGAGAATCACGTAAACCCAGCAGGCGGAGGTTGTAGTGAGCCGAGATCGTGCCACTGCACTCAAGCCTGGGTGACAGAGCGAGACTTTATCTCAAAAAAAAAAATTAAATGAAAAATAAAATTTTGGTTTTCATTTGTGACTCCTGGCCAGAGGTCCTAAAACCCTTGACATTTCCTAAATGATGAAAGTGGTATCTTGTTATTCATAACAAACCCCTTTCAGTCACATCTGAGTTTATATTAATGAAGTGACTTTTGGAGAGCCTCAAAGAATGGTGGGGAGGGCGGAAGGGGGGCGCTGGTTGCTACGGGAAGTAACCATGTGATTGGAGGGTTGGGACTTTCAGCCTCAAGCCATGACCTCCAGGGAGGAGAGAGGGGCAGCAGATTACCATTGGGCAATGACTTAATCAATCATGCTTACATAATGAAGCCTCAATTTTAAAAAACCCTAACCAAAGGGATTTGGAGAGCTTCCAGGTTGGTGTTGGAAGGATTGAGCTCCTGGAGAGGGCCATATCCCTTCCCCAAACTGAGAAATGTAAAGGTTATTTCTAAGTTCTGTGAGCTGTTCTAGCAAGTTATTGAACCTAAGGAGGCGGTTGTGGGAATCTCTGCGCTGTGGTCTGAATGTTCGTATCCTATTGGACTTCATAAAATGGAAATCCCCAAGTTGATGATATTCAGAGATGGGACCTTTGGGAAGTGACTACGTCATGGGATTAGTGGCCTTATAAAAGAAACCCAGGAAAGCTTGTGAGTCCCTTCTGCCACGTGAGGACACAGCTCTGTCTACAAACCAGGAAAGAGGCCCTCACCAGACACCCATTCATCTGGTGCTTTGATCCTGGACTTTGCAGCTTATACAACTGAGAAATAAGTTTTGGTGTTTGTAAGCTCCCCAGTTAATGGCATGTTATAACAGCTCAAATACATGAAGACACCCCCCATTCATAGCCAGTCTATCAGAAGTACAGGAGACCCTGGACTTGCTGTTGGTATCTCAAGTTGGGGGCAGTCTTGTGAGACTGAACCCTTAACCTGTGGGATATGCAATAATGTTGGATAATTAGTGTCCGGATTGAATTAAATTGTAGGACACCCAGTTGGTGTCTGCAGAGAATTAGAGAATTGCTTAGTTTGAAGCCCCTCCACCCTTGACATTTGGTCCAAAGTATTATGAATAGAGGAACAGTTTTCCTTTGGGGCAGAAATTTTTGTCTGTTTTGTTTTATAATATATCCTAAGCATCTAGAACACTGCCTGGTACAGAGTTGGTACTCAATAAATTATGAATGAATATGCATTGTGCCAGAATTTGTGCCAGGTACTGGGCATATAGTTGTGAAAAAGCGGAGATGGTGCCTGCCTTCTTAAAACGTCCAGCCCAGTACTACACAGTCCAGTGATTTTTCTGCCTGCCTGGGCTGCCCTCCTCTAACAAACATCAGAGTGCCTAATTGCTGAGCTCAGAGTAGACTTTCCTCTTAGCAGTACTTTTGAGATAGTTTTGTTTTTATGGTTTTTTTTTAATTCTGAAAAAATGGGGGGAGAGTAATGCATTCTATTTAGTCTAAGTTAAAAGTCTACAATTTTCCTCAATACAGAGACAAAATAGTGTTGTCTTTAAAGTCCAGGCCTGGTAGAGAGCCGAAAGAAGTCATGAGGTACATTTGGTTTACTTTTTCTTTCCTTTATTTTTTTAAACCTAAAGGAAGATGGTTGTAATGTTTTATACTACTGAAGAGTGAAAGGATGTGCAGTAAACATGTTTATTGCTGTCTTTTTTGTAAACTGGAATGTTTCATTTACGAGATCCTGACCTATTTCTTGAGATCTTCTGTGTGCTGTTTGTTGAAATGAATTTTTACATGGCTAAAACACTTAAGAAAAAAAGGAGCTAAAATTGAGTGCATTGAGAGATTATCTGCTGGTTCAGCATACTTCAGATGTTGTGTCAGCAACAGTACTTTCACCCTGTTCTTACATAGGCAATCACACCATCACGGGAAACTCCAAGGTTGGGAATATACCTGAAAAGTGGAACGAATTCAGGAAGAATACTGCTGCACAGATATAAGACTAAACAAAATGACTTGTAATAGCCCTTCAAAATCTCAGACTTTTGGTCTAAATAATACAAACTCCTAAATCCCATTTGGCATCGTTTATTTAAAAAATTCTGTTGATAACATTTTGTGTATATCCATCTTCTAGATACTTATTTTAATTCTTCACCTCACTTTGTTGTCAAATGTATTCTAACTTGTTTGATATTTCATCTGAATTTCCTTCCCTGCACAAAAATTCAGATGCAGATGTGAATTGTTTTGCCCCATAATCTTGTCAGAAAAAAACTGATGAAACTATCATGGAAATAGCTTTGATTAATTACAAACAACTTCAGTGGTGTCCTATAAGCCCATGATATAACACCAAAATCTACTCTGTAAGATTAAAAAAAAGTTTTCTTGCATGCATGTGGCAGCAAACTTGTTTGAAGATTGGTGTGTTGTGACATCCTCAACAAAATACAGAACAAAAGAAAATACAGGCTGGGCGTGGTGGCTCACACCTGTAATCCCAGCACTTTGGGAGGCTGAGGCAGGCAGATCATGAGGCCAGGAGTTCAAGACCAGCCTGGCCAACATGGTGAAATCCTGTCCTACTAAAAATACAAAAATTAGCCGGGCATGGTGGTATGTGGCTGTAATCCCAGCTACTTGGGAGGCTGAGGCAGGAGAGTCACTTGAACCCAGGAGGTGGAGGTTCAGTGAGCTGAGATCGCATCATTGCATTCCAGCCTGGGCAATCACGTGAGGCTCCATCTCAAAAAAAAAAGAAAAGAAAATACAACTCAAGCAGTGACCCTTATGCAGGATCTTCTCTAATGCCTTTGATAATTAATAAGGCATTATTATTTGTGTTCCCACATCACCCAGTGCACACCTCCATCATAGCATTTATGCAAATATGTATACTGTATTATAAACATGGAAGGCAATGCTTTCTTCCAGAAGGGTTCACAGCCACTTCTAAGGATACAACAAATAAACAGAGATAATAGACCCCAAGATGCCATACATTAAAAGTGTGGAGAACGAAGAAAGTAAAAACATGGGTAGTAACAAAATGGAACCAGAGACAAAGCTAAAATGCACAGAAGAATGACCTTCACATTTGCTGCAGCTGGGCCATGAATTTGTCTCTAAGCTGACAACCTCATTGGTCCCACAATTCGTGATATCTGAAGATAAAACATAAATCCAGTACTCTGGAGAGGTAAAACTATTCCTGGAATGGAGATCAGATTGGAATGTCTCCCAGGGATGCTTATAAAGAGCACATTGTGTTATGTGAGGAGCAGTGTCCTTGACAGTATCCCTGACTGGGTGACCAGTGCAGAGGGATGCCTCTGATGGAAGCACAACAAAGGGCAATTTGCTGAGCTACAGCAATGCTTCTAGGGTGACTGTCTTGGTGATCATGGCTTAACAATGTTTTATCTCCAGCACCTAGTTTAGTAATTGGCATATAGCACGTGTCAAGAAGTGTTTGTTGAGTGAATGTCTAATGGACAAGACCCAGTTTAAGGACTCCCTCTAGGGCGACTCCCCTGATTACCAAGACCTGGTGTTCTGCTCCCCAGCTATGTATCCTTTTATTAAGAACTGTAGCTCCCCAGCTAGGCATACTTTTGTTAAGGATGTCCTGCTCCCCAGCTAGGCATACTTTTGTTAAGGATGTCCTGCTCCCCAGCTAGGCATACTTTTGTTAAGCTGTTAAGTGGTACAGCTGTGGAATATTTTTTCTACTGTTGGGTTAAACTGCCATTTTCTACCACCTACCATGATTTCTAATAAAGTGCCCTTTAGATATTTTTGTGTTAAATTTCCCTCATCTTCTTCAAATATGGGAGTGAGGCCAGGGGTGTTTGTACATACTTGCTGATGGTGGCTAGTGGTGGTGCGTCAAGAAAGTCCTGTACTTACCACACTGAGAGGTCAATCCTCAGGTAAACTTATGAGTGCTATTGGCTTAGAATCCTACATCCAGGTTGTCCCTCGGAGCAGAGGCAGGGCTGGTAATGGTGCCAGGGTAGACCTTTGCCATCAGTTTCTGTGCTGAGCATTGGGAAGACCTAGACA